GGGCCGAAACCTGAGCACGGTGAGCCACGAGTTTGTCGGGTTTTGGCACTGACTCTGAATCAGGGAACGTCTTCTCATAGATTCGGGGTTTGTGCACTACCTTCCTCTGTTCACCTGTTGCTGGGACTTTGATGTATTCCACTTTTGATGAAAACACAACGGCTCTGTGGCATTGTTCTTTCATGGCCTTTGTGGCTTTTGGCAACCCTTTTCCCTTTGCTATGCATGCATACCTTTGGGTAATGCATGGCGCAGCTTTTGCACTGGCCTTCTTCTTTGGTGCAGGGCTATTGGTGCGTTTTGGATCCTTTGTGGGTGCAGCTGCAACTTCATGTTTGTAAAAACATTTGTCACCACGACGACATTTGCCCTGTTGGAAGTAAGTGCATGGGATCTTGGCCATCTCTTCCTTCGACTTTCTGTTGGGGGAACCACTTCTGCTACCACCTTTGCCCTTACCCTTTCTTTTGGGGGTACCAGATCTTGAGGAATCTTTGACATGCTTGTAGGGACAGTCTTTACCCTTTTCACATTTGCCATCCCTGAATTTGTAGCATATTTTGTCCCCTTTTCCACTCTGGCTACGGCCACGGGTTCGACCTCGGTCGCCCTTTCCTTTGCCGCGATCTTTGCCCCCCTGAGCGGGTGCAGCGGGCTGAGGCTTTTCGGTCTGCTTGTTCTTTTCAACGATTCTGTTTCTGTTTGAACGGAGTCTTTCTCTATCCAAAAGGTCACGAATGTTTCTCAACAAGAATGCATAAGACTTTTGTTCTGACTTTTCAGGAGCTCTGTCAAATGCTTCAATGTCATACTTCATCAATTGACATTTTCGGATTTGTCTAAGTAAGATGTCTCTGAGAACCAAATCATCTGGTGGGGTTTCCATGCCGGCAATTGTGGCGTCCCATCGGTTAAGAAACCTTCTAAGGTCCTCCACAGATTCTCCAGTGCGAACGACTCCAAGTAGGTCCTCGACGCGGTAGAGACTGCCAGCTTCCTCAGACGTCCTGAAGTAATCTTCAAACATCAAAAGGACTCTCCTACCTCTGACTTGGATCCCATTCTTTGACTTCTCATCTTTGAAGTTATGGATCTTTGTCGCTAAATCACCTTTGGCTGAGCGAGTTAACGCTGCCGACAGTTTGGTGTCAAGTGTGATAAACTTCCCAGGATCCTGCAGCTTTTCCTCCAACTTTTCCCTAGGGGTTTTGTTGTCAAAGACTTCATTGAGCCAAAGCCAAGCCTCATCGGGTTTGTCGGAGCACGATTTCACTTCATCCCTGACATGATTACGCCAGTGACGATAAGCTTCTGGGGCAGGCATGTCATTCAGTTTGATAGTCTCTGCCTCTTTTGTTCGGGGCTTTTCACCATCTGAATCCTTTGAAGTCAGTCTAGTGATGAGATCTAGCAATTGTTGACCTGAAAGACCTAAGCCTGCTTCAGCTGCTTTCTTGCCAGGGTCGCTTGCTATGACTGTAGGACTGGGCACACTATGATCTTGGTTTGCATCGTCATCATTTTGTCTTTGAACTGGCAATGGTGGAAGTTTTGGAGGGGCTGCTGATCCGGCAGGGGTTGTTGAGAACAGGTTGCTCAACCTTTCCTTAGCGTCCATGGCTAAGCTACTCATACCAGTGTTTGGCATGGGTTCTGCTCCAGCCTTGGTACCGACCGCTGATTTTGGGGTCATGTACAAATCGACATTATTACCGCCTTGTGCATCATCAACTTCGACGGCTCTGTCGACACTGATTTCCGGGGCGCTGTACTTGTTGAGCTTCTCCATCAAATCCTCGACTTGTCCCTGCAATTGGAAATTGAGTTCAGCAGCTTGGTTTTCCTGCCTACTGCATTCCTCTCTAATCTCCTGAATTACAGCTTGTTCCTCCTTCTTGAAACCTTCCATGCCATTCTTTGCATACTCCACTGTTTCGTCCACGATTCGTTTACAGTCTGCCTCGAGGCTACCTCTGAGTTCAGAAAACCTTTGTTCGTACTGGGCTGTAATATGGGCTACCTTTTGGTTGGCTCTTTGTTCAGCTTCCAGTGCAACCGCATTTGCAGCGTTCTTTAGCTTTGCGTTTGCATCGCTAAGTTCCTGTCTCAGTTTTGCTACCTCATGCTCAGCTGCCGTTTGGGACACTGAATACTCTGACACTAGGTGTTCATGTCTGCGATCCGCTTCTGCACGTTGATGGGCAATTTCGCTAAGGCAAACTCCCTCAAACTCTTGGTACAGTTGCTGGACCTTTTGCTCCATGAGATGTGTGTGCCTCTCCTCCGCCTCTTGCCTGAAAGCATCAATGTTACCTTCGTTGATGTAGGTAAGATTGTTTTGCACGAACTGGAAATATGCTTGCACGGGCTGTGTGAAGAAACCTTCATCCACTGACATGGGCGTGGGGTTTGTCCCAGCCGGCAAGCTTTGTTGTGATCCAGTTGTTGCAACCGTTGCTCCAGACGAGGGGACAAGGGCGCCTCCACCGGAGGTGTCTCCAGTTGTCCTTTCCATGGCTTTAAGAGACTACGGCTGATAACCTGTATTTTCAGGTTTCAGCAAGGGATGTTACTATTATCCCAAATGGACTGATAAACCTAGAACAAGGACAAAAAACCGTTAAGCTAACGACTCAGCAACACCTTTTCCAACTGAGCCGCAATGCTGTAGTGCAACTAGCTTACATGTGTGTTTTATGGTGAGGTGATTTTACAAAAACAAGTTATAAAGTGAATGATGAACTGAATTATCATTCATGTGTCCCTAGTTAAAGTGGTTAAACTGGATAAAATTGGATGACTTTTGTGGAGATACAACGGCTGGTACTTGATTTTCTGACCAGTTTTGACCCTTGCCTAAATTGGGTAAGCTGCCTGAGTTTCTATATTCGTTTCTGCCGATTACGATAAACTACATCGCCTGGGAACACAACAGTTGCTTTGTGGATTAAAGGAACGTGATTATACAGTATAAAGTATAAAGTGTATATAACATGAAGATACATGAAGCACAATAAGTCTCCATGTTGGTAGATGGGCAGGGTAAAATATTGGGTAGTGGATTTTAAATGATTGAAACATATTAAAACCGTGAGATAGTTTGGTTTGCGTTCTGGATTGGGAGAACAAGTCTGAAAGTGTGCCAAAAGATAAAACTGTGAACCCCATATATTAAATAGAAGCAAATAATTTGACCATATATTTACAGTTACTGCATTGATTGAAATGATTTTGCTGAAAAATAGTGGAGTTGCTGCATGGTCGCAGTTGCTAGATGTTGCTAGCGGTTGGATGGAGCAATCCAAATCTTGGAAGGGTCACCCTGGGGGTTCCTGTCCTTTTCGCCCGTACGCAGAAGGCGAGACAAGCGCGTTGAAGCGGTGCACCGGCTTCATGGTGCACTGCGGCAGTGCGGAAATTGCCGGCCCGGAGTAGATTGGAAACTCCGGGCCCAGGTGGCACCTGTTTGTTCTAATCATCTACAGGCTGATCTTAGACTATCGGTCATCCCAAACCAAGGTTTATCCGGCTGTTCTCAGTTCCAGGTAACCACAGCAAGATTCTGAGCAAAGGTACCCCCCTCAGCTCCAGTCGAAAAATCCCGTGGAGCTAAGGCGGAAAATCTATGGACTACAGCCAGCTAGCCGAGCCATGCAGAGCCCATCATGCCTCAACTGGTTTCACTTCATTTTGGCAAATACTTCAGGAACTGCTTCCGAGAAAGAGCGCTTCACACCCACCCTAGGCCGACATCGGTAGATCTCCATGTCGGTTGGGGGATGAAGAGATGACTTGGGCCCAAGAACCAGGGGTACCCCTCAGGACCCCTTAGGCCCTGATCCAATATTTGAACCAAGTTGTTTTCCAGTATGTAGATCCAGTCCTTGAAACAAAATGAACTTATGGATAATCATGGATCATTTAAGTAGATGATCATTGGTCCATCATCAATCATTATCATATATCAAAATGATCTAATCCATGATTATCCAGTCCTTTTAAGGGGTCTCCAAAAAGGATCTAAACTGCACACAAAAAAAAACTATATATATATAATTCACAGACATCAACGTCTAATTTGGGTATCGCTAATGTGGATATTAGAGAAATATAATGACATAACCTTGAAAAGGGGTATCGCTAATTTGGGAAGGTCCCATCGCTTACCGTGTGTTTTTAACAATTTCCATCAATTTCCATAAACAAATGTCCGTCCAATACATACTTAGTATTGCCGGGGTTTTTCCGGTGGCTCACACACATATATAATATATATATATATATAGTTATATATATATATACACATTCATATAATCCATTATATATATATATATATCATATATCATATGTCATCATTTATATATGGGATAATGATTCGGATAACCCGCGGATCACAGCCGCCCCATCATCCCCATCCCTATCGCCATGTTCCCGGACGCTGCCAGGAAGACAATGGCGAGCAAGATTGCGCACAGCCTCATCGGTTCGGTCCCAGCGCTGGGCATGGGTCCAAACCTTTTTTTTGGGGGTGATGGTGGTACCCCAAAATGGATGGTTTATACAGTATAAACATGGAAAATTGATGGAAATCCATTACTGTATAAACCATCCATCTATTATTATTAATCCTACAGTAATGATTTATAATGGAAAATTCTATTTAAATTGATTTTAGGAACAGCCCATTTTTTTACACACACAGAGACACACCCTGACGTTCGCATCCCAGAATTGTTGCAAGAAGTGAGTTACCAGGCTGCGAGGCATCCAATCCAAACTGTTAATTGTCCAACAGTTTTGACTTGTTTGATAGTTTGAATGTTTGATAGTTTGAATTTTGAATTTGTTGAATGATGTTGACCCACTTGTTTGATAGTTTTGACTTGTCTTTTGACCCGTTTCCAATGCATGTCCATATCCTGTTTTCGATAAATCAAAATAATAAATCACTAGTGTTTTGAGTAACTTTCAGTTTTCCCTACCTTTTCCCTGCCTTTTCCCTATACCTCTTCCCCTACTTGTTCATCCCCATACCTTTCAACTTCCAATATGTTGATCTTCCCAAACCCAGGCCTGAAGCATTGGATCACCGTGAGGTTCGTGAGCAAGAGCCCCACCACCACCGCGTTCAATGGCACGCGACACATGTTGTACCTGGAGATGGCGCCAAATCGCTGGAGATGGCACGCTGAAGCTAAACAATGTCCCCATGAAAGGCTATAATAGGGCTATTAAAGATTATTATCCCATTATAGATGGTTATATCCCATTATATTGAGGGATTTCATTCTAGATGATGACCTTCTGGTAAACTAACATAGCGAACTGGAAAATAACCATTTCAATTGGTAAATCCACTATAAATGGGCCATTTTCCATAGCTATGTAACAAATTGCCAGAGAGTATGTTCCATGATATTCCCATGATAAACATCTTTGAAACCTTGGATAAACTGAGGAAAAATGAATGAAACAGGGGGGAGAAGTACGAAAAACTGGGATATACCCAACCACCAGGTTTTTCATGACCAGCAGGTAACTTGAAGAACATTCTGTGCTCATGTTTTAGAATGGAAATGGACCCAGTCCATATGTAATTCCACATGTTTATCCAAATGATCCATCGTTTGAAGATCTGGGAAGATCTTTGGCGGATGGAAATGGGACCGATCAATCCAAAGAACTCCGCGAATCCACGCGGCGAGCCTTGCGATAGCCAAAAATAAATATATACGTAGTGTTAGGGCTTCGAATTGGGGCCCAATTCACCAGAAAACATCAGAAAACCACTTTGGAATACATTTTGATAAGACTTGCAGTGCATTTTTCATGGTATGATTCGTCTCATTCAGTGGATGAAACGAGCGTGAAACATCTGGAAACCAAAATATGCTGCCACTTTATGGTCAAGAGGTCACCTTTGTCCTCCTTTGTCCTTTGACACGAAAGAACCGACCTTTTGGGTCTCGATTTTCCATGATTTTCCGTCCAAACAGTCAGCCGTTTTCTGGCCATCCAACCCACCCGGGCTCCCAGGCATTGTGGCTCGAATGCGTTCCTGGGGGAATCATAAACCGCCAATTGAACCAACGGACACTAACAACCATTCCTGATTGGAGGCTTATTAGCGTGTTTATTATTATTATTAGTAGTAGTAGTAGCATTATTCTTATTATTATTATTATATAATATATATATATGTATGTATGTATTGGTTATTGCATTTTACTCCATTCGCACTTATGATCCACCGTTTCTACTGACATGTTCTTTTCGGAAGCCAAAATTGGAGAGGGAACTAAGAAGTTCTGTTGAGAACATGGGATTCCCACCAAGGCAATCCCAGGCCACTCCGATGATGGATATGAATTATCATTGTTCATGACATACCCTCTGGTAAACTAACATAGCTATTGAAAATGGCCATTTATAGTGGATTTTCCCATTAAAAATAGTGATTTTCCATAGCTATGTTAAATTACCAGAGGGTATCCTGTAGTATTCCAAGAATTATCTTCATTACATACTCGTTTAATCAGCTGGCTGTGCTGGCCAACTTTCCATCATTGACGAGTAATTACATAATATGACATGTGCCTCAAGTACTTGCCCTTCAGGCTCAGTCATTTCCGGGAACCCAATGGATTTCCACAGCTTTTTGTATGCGTACTGGAGGGTTTTTGACGCTAATATTAGTTCCAGTAGTTAAAAAACCCTCTAGTATATGATGGAGGAAATATAAACTGGAGGGTATAAATCACCTAAAAAACAAAATCTAGTAATCTAGTTTTTATCATCATGTTCCAGTAGTTTTACCCACCATTTGGTCCCATTTTGCGGGTTCTTTCCCGGATCGGAAGGTTTACCGTAACATGATGCATTCCAAGAATCTGGCACCAACTCACTCTTTACCGTGCCGATAGAGGGGAAGTAAACTCCCACGCAGAACTCGAAGATGAGGAACGCCATGAAACAGACCTTTGCTGCTTCATCATCCATGTGTCTATTTTTTTTCTTGGTTTCTACCCTCTGGTAATTTAACAGTTTGCTATTGAAAATGGCCATAGAAATAGCTGATTTTCCATGATTTTCCCATGAAAAATTGTGATTTTCCATAGTTATGGGACAGTTTACTGGAGGGTATCCTGATTTTCGTCGTTTTATATCCCCAAGAGGAGTGTTAATCTCATGGATCCCATTCAACAAATAGCCCATGGTTGGTGGTTGACCTACCATTGTGGTTAATATACTGTTAATGATGGTTAATAATGGTTAATATTAATGGTTATTACATGGTTAATGATGGTTAATACTAATATGGTTGGTGGTTTTTCGCCTACCCCTCTGAAAAATGATGGAGTGAAAGTCAGTTGGGATGATGAAATTCCGAACATATGGAATCATAAACAAATGTTCCAAACCACCAACCAGTTATTATCTCCGCTGAAATTGAGTTTCTCTCTATTGGAATCTATCGCCTTCCGACCAGGTTTTTTTCTCAGTCTGAGGGTCGAGACAGAAGTGTGAGACTTGAGTTTATACCCCCACAGTTTTTGATTAAATCACAATCAAGTCATTGATCGGGCTGGTTAAATCCCCTACTGTTGATTAACATATGGAAAATCCACCTTTAATTTCCTGGGGGTTCGCCATGGTTTTTTTTCCACAAAAATAAGGCCATCCCGAAAAAATGACTAGATCTCATTCATCAGCTTTGGGAAGCAGCTTCGGGGAACCGCTTTGGGGAGCAGCTTTGGCAAGCTTTCCGGAACAACTTGGAGGAACAATTGCTTTGAAGAACAGCAGCTTTGGGGAGCAGCTTTCGCTTTGGGGAGCCGTTTTGGGGTATAGGTTTGAAGAATCGCAGCTTTGGGGCAACAGCTTTGGACAGCAGCTTTGGGGAACAATTTTGGGGAGCAACTTTGGGGACCACGTCCAATCATTAGAACGGATTTCCCTGCTCATGGATTGTGAGAATCCCGGTGTTTTGAAATCCCCATAAATCCGAATCAAAAATGGAAGCTCATGGAAAATCCTATAATTAAATCCCCTATAAATCCCCTATAGTTATAGAGTATTTTCCTAGCCAAAACCTTCATTCGGTTCGGGAATTCTCCAGCACTCCACGGTTTGCCCAGGCGCGTGCGTGCTCTTCCCTGCGCAAAGTCCAGCCAAGGCGAAGGCACAAACGGCCAGCGCGGACACCACTTGCAACCTATGGCGTATTGGAACTGGGGAAAGAATGGAAGATATCCTGGGATGTAATGAGATGTATAATTTCGTGTATTGTGTGTGTGTAATCAAGAGCAGATTCGTGTTCAAAAAATTGTTTACGCAATGCACGAAGAGGGCATTTGATGAATTGACCGACTGGCAGCAGAAATGTGGATTTTCGATGATTTTCCCAGCTATAAACCTCGATAGCTAGTTCGGGGATTTCCCAGCAAGCCATGTTTGATGAAATCAAATTCCATTGACAACCACTAATCACCATGAATCACCACGTTTACCCATGATTAATGGGAAATGCCAGGCATATTCAGGCATGATTTCCACTGACTTGCAACTTCCAACTTCCAAATCCAGGGATGTAATCCATGTTCAAACCATAAGTGCCATCTATGAGATCTATGAGGCCCAAGAGGTCGCTCTAAAACAGCCAAACTGTTGCAATGCCACTGGTCTGGCTGGTGTCTCCCCCTCTTTTCCAGCAGAAAAGTCATGAATCATGGCCAAAATCGGCATCCATCATAACTATCATAGATCAGTCAGAAGTTCCCCCAAAAAGATTCATAGAAGTCATGGATTTTAGCCGAACCTCGGTAATTATAATGGATTTATGTAGGTTTATATGGATTTTTAGGGATTTATATGGATTTATATGGATTTTTTTGGGTTCATATGGATTTATATGGATTTACATAGATTTATATGGGTTTCTATAGGTTTATATGGATTTATATGGATTTCTATGGATTTATATGGATTTATGATAGTTCCTGCTAGTTATTTCATGGATTGGCATGGATTTACTATCACAATGATCCACGTTTGCCGCCCGCTCCGTCGTCGTTTGTCACCTCTGAATGGATGGCATCTTATCATTCAGCAAGGTTGAGGTGGAGGCGCCACACCTCAGTAGGTGTATATATATATATATATTAATAAGATATATATATATATATGTATAATAATGATTATATATAATAGATATACATTTATATTGTTATATAAGTTATATAATACATATATAGATAGTAATAATAACACTACATAGATGTATAATACACTATACAAAATGTGCTTTTTCATATAAACAGATTGGTAATATTATTTATATATAGTGTAGCATAATGTTGTTTTTCATGATAATGATAATAACAACACTATATAGATGTATGCGCTTGTATATACATATATATATATACACATATGCATAACTCTCCCTATCTATCTACATATATGTATATATGTGTGTATATGACTTGACTATATGATTAGATAGTTCTATGTTATGCAACAGGCTGGCTATATGATATGACGTTTTTCACTGTGTTGCGCCTCAGGAAACTATCAGGAAACCTTTGATGTTGAATCACTCAAACTATCTCAAAGCCATCTTTCCTGCAAATGTGTCCTGGAAACTGATCCCTGAAACTGCCTTAAACGTACCAATGCCTGTCTCCACCCCCCTTTCTTCGTTCTTTTCGTCGCTCCTTTTTCGGACACGCCATGACTGGATTGCCACGCCACGCTCCTGGTGAATCTGCTCAAGGACTGGTTATTCTGTAATCCGAAGTTTATCCCATTATATCAGTGTAACTCTGTTGCTGATTCTATCCCAGTTGCTGATCCACTTTCATTACATTCATGGCAGGGTGAACCCCAATTCTGTTGCTCAAATCAGCTAAATCTCTATATCTTATCGGTTAAACAAGTGAAACTCCTATTTTGATTCTAAAATATGCTGGTTCACCCATCGAAATTCACCATTTTTTGCGGCTAGATCATGCTAAAACCCCTATTTTTCCCGGTGAAATCCACATTTTCCCCGTGAAAATCGCCTGGTTTTTGTGGCTCTCGCTCTGCTCCTCCAAAGACGTGTCCAGCGCATCGTCCCGGAGAAGTCGCCCCACCGTGCGCCACACGGGCGGCGGCCGGGCGAAGTCGCCGAAGGAGGAGACGCGCAGCTGACGCGGTGGATTTTTCTGGTGGTTGATCATTGGTTATCCCATTATCATGTAGTAATATACATTAACATCTGGGGTACAATCTAATAATTATTAACCACCAGAAATGTATACCATTGATTATAGTGATACAATCTAATCTGTATCCCATTTTTCTGGATGGTTAATGTATGTTAATGTGGGATACAGATTAGATTGTATCCCATTAAATCCCTTAAATGGCTTTTTTTGGGGCTATCAAAAATTATTATCCCATTACAGATGGTGATATCAGTTATATCCCATTATATTGAGGGATTTCATTCTAGATGATTACCCTCTGGTTGATTATAATAAACTGATCATTGGTTCAAATATTTTTGATTTTCCCAAATATATGGGATAATCCTTCCCATTTACTTTCATATTTTTCAAGATGGTTAAAACCACCAACCAGTAATGGATTATTTACCCTCTGGCAAACTGTCCCATAACTATGGAAAATCACCATTTTTTATGGGAAAATCAACTATTTCTATGGCCATTTTCAATAGCTATGTTGAATTACCAGAGGGTATAATAAACCATCAATTGGTTATGTCACCATCGGTAAAGTCTCCATTATTAAAAAAAATATATATATATATATAAAGTCACGAATATTTTTTCTATGGTGACTTTAACCATCAATGACATAACCAATCGTGACTTAACCAATGACTTATGTTTTTTTTAATCTTTTTGGTTGGATGATTTTACCAATGGTGACTCAACCAATGAAAACCAATGGTGACTGGAAACCATCAATGACATCTGGGATGACTTAACCAATGGTGACTGGAAAGGTGACTTCTGGGGCCATGGTGACTGGAAAGGCGACTGGAAACCATCTTTCACCAAGAAACACATGGTGATTTCATTGCATAGTTGATGGAACAAATTGGGGAATGGTGATTTGGCAGTTAGAATGGGAAAATTGGGGAATGGTTGAGTACCAACACGGGGGGGTTCAAGGAGAATTGGAGTTGGTTTATGAGATATTTTTGGTTCGGTTGGGCTATAATGGAATTTTAAGCACCAAATATGGGGAAACTTACTGTATGGTTTGAGATTTGTTTTGAGATTATAACCTGTGATGACTGATTTTGGTGCCCCAATTCGGTAGCTAAGTTGGTGAACATAACTCCAATAACCTTTCGGCACCTGTGAGAATAGTCATTGGGGATGATGCTATCTGGAGCTTCCCCGTGGAAAAATATACCGCCATATGCCTAATGTAGATTATATGGATTTATATGGATGATATCCATTGATATCCATCATTGAGGATCCATGGTTAAAGAAAAAGGGGGTTTCCTAAAAAAAGGGGTACCCCCAAATCATCCATTTCAGTAAGATTGTCCATTAACGATCCATTTGGGTACCCCATTCCAGGAAACACCCATGTAGGTGGCGGCCAGCTGGACCCCCGCCCTGCCTTCACGCCGGGCACTTTGGCCCGAAATTGTGCCAGCACTCCTTGTGTGCCAAGGACAAAGGCATCATGCCGGGACCAACAAAAATCCACCGGCACAATGTGATGACATAGATACATTCTTCATTGCTTCGGGATTCTCTGAAAACTTGGCAGTGACGGAATACAAATCATGGAAATTGGAACATGATTTCGGAATAGTTTGGGATATGTTTGGATATGTTTCGATCTTTTGGGGCCAACATTTCGGTTTTCAGAATGTACAGAGATGCAGAAATGCGCATTTCAAATGATTTTTCGGGCGAACCCCGAATGGTATACTATACACACATATATATATGACACACCTTGGCCTCCTTGATTCTTCCCCCCCAGCACGCTGCAATGTCTTTTTGTGCAGGGGCGTTCCTGAGGTTCACAACATGTCAAGTGCTTGCATTGATAGGCTGGCACGAAGGCATAGGCAAATTCGCATCGAATGGATCACCAGTGATGCTTGCAGCTTGCTAAACATTGATAGGCTGGCACGAAGGCATAGGCGAATTCGCATCGAATGGATCACCAGTGATGCTTGCAGCTTGCTAGACAAACTGTTGAGTCCGAAGTGGTAGGTGGGGTGGTGGTGGTGAGCATGAGTGCTAAGGAGTCATGACAGGTTGGTCATGCAACTATGACACACCTTGGCCTCCTTGATTCTTCCCCCCCAGCACGCTGCAATGTCTTTTTGTGCAGGGGCGTTCCTGAGGTTCACAACATGTCAAGTGCTTGCATTGATAGGCTGGCACGAAGGCATAGGCAAATTCGCATCGAATGGATCACCAGTGATGCTTGCAGCTTGCTAAACATTGATAGGCTGGCACGAAGGCATAGGCGAATTCGCATCGAATGGATCACCAGTGATGCTTGCAGCTTGCTAGACAAACTGTTGAGTCCACCCTTTCCAACCATTCCATGCACAGGCTCTAATCAAGGATTGCGGGCCAAAAAAGGTGCATTCCTATAATGACGTCCAAAAATTGTTCCTAGCAACAAACAGATTGCATGCAGAAAATAATCCTGTTTGGTGATAGGCGGTCCCATGGGAAAGGGTTCAGTCGACGCTTGACCATGGGTCACTTGGGTCGGCGCCAGTGCTGAGTCGATCTGTTGAATGGCTTCATCTCTGAGTATCGTTTTGATCTTCAACATGCATTTCTTGTTCAGTTCTTGAAGCAGCTGTTGTGATTTGCCGACCTGAATGTAGTGCTCTAACGATTGCATGCTGGCCCACCGCCCCATAAGTCTTAGGCGGCCTATATCACTACACTGATCGAAGAGGAATGTGGCCCCTCCGGCTCGTAGCGAGGCTGGAGAAAACTTGCATTCATCACAACACAGAGTGGACAACAGGATTTTGAAAGAGCGTCTGAACTCGCTCTGAGAAAAACTCCAAAGTGGGTCCTTTGCATTCATGCCATGGCAGCACCACACTATCCAGTTGCAAGTGTCCGGTTGTTTGATGGTCACAAACTGACTGGTGCCAAGCTGCCTAAAGTTTTTGGGTTTCTCAATAGTCACTGTCACTGCTGGCAACGCAAATGTAACACTGTTTGGAAAACAAATATGCTTTCGCTTCAATGACAGCATTTCACCTGGTCGCAACAGGCCAAAGAAACCTAACCCTAACAGCATGCTGACTCGGAGCCACTTTTTGGCTTTGCTGCTATCATCGTCTGCTTCGAAGGCAAGAATCCTCGCCTGGCAAATCATCGCTACTAAAAGAGTCACCGGCAAAGGGCTACGCATGCCGCTTGGTAGGCTCTCTTCCCAGGCTTTTAGGGTCTCCCAGCTTTTCTTAAGCTGGTGTTTCAGATCAGGACGCAGGATCTGAAGCAGTAACACTGCATGCCTTGCTTGTCTCATATTCACCCCATTGTTCTTTTCACCATGCATGGCCATCACAAAACTCTCCAGGATTTCATCCACCACAGGCGGGCGGCTATCCAACAACTTGTTCAGTGTACTGCCATCGCCTCTCAGAAATCTTTCCAACTTCTGTCCGCCAGAAAGCAGCCGGCTACGATAAGCCTTGCTATATCTGTTCAACCGCAATTTGCTGCTATCCATGGCTGGCCTATGCTTTAAACAACTACATGCAAATATTTTTTCATGAACCGCTGAGATAAAAAACTACGCACCTATGCTATACCTATGTCTCGAACATCTGCAGGCATATGCTCTGGTATTTCTGGCACAAACGATTCGGGTAAGCACCAGCCAGTGTTGAGCGCCGTTGCCACCCGTTCTTTGTTTTTACACCCCCAATGACTTGAACGTGCTGGTGATCTCTACCGCATTGTCTTGCTAAGTTTTCAAGCCTGGGCAACGTTCCTGCAAAGCGGGTTGCTTTACGCGCCGGACCAGGCAGCCCTTGGCAGTCGGGTATCATGAGACCGTACTGACATTGGTCTAAATTTACCTTCTGGCTGTTAGTTCTCCTTAACATTGATGTCATGTCTGGCATGTACCATGCATAAGAGCTTTTCGGATTTTCAATCGTGAAGAAGGAACCATGTTCATGGAGAATATCACAAAGTATGACAGTCCTACGTAAGATTTCATTTCCATATATTTCTCGGCCAAGTGAACCATCCCCTGCAGGCGATTCTTGGCTCCTAGTTCCCTTATTCAACCCTTGCAAAATTGAAAAGCTACCGCATGGCATGCCAAAATGCCAAATCTGCCTCGGTGCTTTGGCATCTTCGCATAACTGTCTGAAGGTGTCGTTATTCAAAATATCATGCTTTTTTGAGGGCCTACCTTTTTGGATTAGTTCAACTGGGGCTGCGACACCAAACTTACCCTTTCCCCTGAACACGCGCGTCAGCTCTCCCTTTCCTGCAAAGATCTCACGGAAGGTCCAGGCTTTCAATGCAGGATGTTCACAACCTGCTGCTGCACCTGACTCTTTGGATCTATGCCTCGCACTGACCTCGCTATCAACACGGCGGGCTTTCGCCTCACGTTCAATTTGACGATTAGACTTTCGTGTCTGGAGTTCACTTCGTTCTGCTGCAGGCATAAATCCAAGTTGAGTCAAAAGGACTGGATCATTCGGTGTGGGAGGAGGAATTGGGACACCTCGTGAAGGATGGTCAGCAGGGTTACTCTTAGTGCCTACCCAGATTAGATGCAAGGATTTTTGACCTACTATTGACCAACCCAACATCGACCTTAACAACCGATTCAATTGCTTTGAGGATGACCTGCCTTTGCTATAGGCTCCAACCACAACACGGGAGTCTACCAGCAGAACTGCACGATGTGGGTCTATAGAGGTTTTAACAAGGTGCTTCAACTCTGCTTTTACCATGCGCATTTCTAGTACATTTATGTGTTGTCTGTGATTGAATCGGCATTTTTCGGTGGTCGACCAACAATGGGCTTGCATTAGACTCTCTAGTTCTTCAGGTGCACTGCGCATCGCTGATGGGGGGGCCAGCGCCCCCGAGGCCCAATCTAATCTCACATGTTCCCCACTGTGTTCACTATATCGGTAAAGTGTATGTGCAATAACTTCCGAAGTACAACAAGCTGCCCTGCCTCCACCCTGCAGTGAAGCATCGCTTGCGCCGATTCGGCAAGAAACGGGCATTCTGATGTTACTGTGCATAACTGGCAGACACAGACACATCCAAAGCAGCTCTTCACGAACACTTGGGGGGAGATAGTATTCCTTTTTGGGTTTCATCCTACCAATGAATTGGTAAACCTCTTGAAATAAAGACATTAGTAAGCGGCGATGCATGGCTGGGTGTACTAGGAGTCCTACTACTTTTTGTAGTAATTTTTTGGTTACCTTTTTTAGGTTACACACTTCAACGACTAATCCGCCAATCCCTTTTAGCTTTTCAATGGCTACCCCCACCCTACCACTTTCACTATCCACATTGGTACCCCAAGCTGTGAAGTTCGAGGCCTTAGTGAACTGCTTCTTTTCTGACACGGGAAGTCCAAGGTGCTTGTACTGATTCCGGCTTTTGGTGATCAGTTCTTCATCCCTGAACTTTTGTCGGCTACGTCTAGTTTTTCGGCCTGGAAGTATCTGCATCACGAGGTGGTCATCGATGTACAGTCCTTCAAGGGTGTGAGAAGCTGGCACAACTTTTTTGTATGCCAGGGTCTCATCATCCTGCATGGCTCCACAATCACGGAGAATCTGCATATGGGTTTCTTGTGCAAGTCAACAGCATTACAATCGCCCATAGGGATAACACGAAACGCCAACATGTACTTGCAACCCTTTTTTCCCCCCCAATCGGTGAATTTTCCGCCATCAAAAGGCTCACCAACACAATTTCTACCTAGCCATTCCTCAGTGTGCTTCAACAAGTAGAAAAAGTTGGATAGGTCATCTCCAGATCCTCTAATGGAAAACCCCTTTGGTAAGATGAGTTGGGTTAGTAGACTACCATGGGGTAATCTGGCCATTACAAGTCTACGTTCGAGTTCGTTCTGTGGACGCCGATCGAGGATGATCCTGTCAGTTTCAGCCTTATGGGGGACTGCAAAGAGACCACCGGAAATGACGTTCCCGGCTGCATCGTGCAACGCTTGTTCAACTGGTATCAAACAGGCCACACCTGTCTCAAGAAGTTTTCTGAAAACGGCTTCACGATCATGTGGGAGAACCTTGAAAACAGCTTTAGTGGGTGGATTAGGCGGATCATCGTGGGGTGCCCATTCATGCATGGTTTTGAATGCCTCAAGATGCTCACCCCGCAAAAAGTCTCTTGGGTCTAACACCCCAGCTTTAGTGGGTAGTGACATCCTATCTGGTCTGACATAGGTGGCATTATTCATTAGTTCTTCAAGGTTATAGCTGGCGTTGGGATAATTTGAATTATGCGGTCGGATCTTATGAATTATTTCACTTAATTGTTTAGTACCTCTGCTTAAAGGTTCATGGCATCTAAGCTGAGTATACTTATGAATTTGACGGTGCAACGAGTCTGCAAGTGCTCCATGCTGCTCAGTCCATGTGGCACCGAATGCTCGTCTAGCCAAGGTCAACTGGTCCTTTTCAGAGATTGGACTTCCTCCCTCAAAAAAGGTGAACAAACACCATAGCATTTGGGTCCATTCCCAGCTAACTTTACGGCCTCGTCCCTGACGAGCACCCTTGGTGCCACGGTCTGCCACAGCTGAAGCTGGCACGACCAGTCGGGACGGAAATAGGTTATTACCCTCCGGTGAAGAAGGGGTCCTATGCCCCAAATCTAAACTAGATTTTCCATGCATCTTTTGATAAAACCGGCCAAATGCACCTGATGATTTGGAAAGTGCTTCAAGAACCGAATTAGCTCCTAGTTTCATAGAAGACTCATTCATGCTATCACTGCGACTCAGTTCTGGGATTCGCCCTCCTTGCTGTCCTTGGTTTCGTCGGACTTTTTGTTCTTGCCCTTGCCTTTGCCTTTCTTGGTGTCCTTGCGGTAACTGGTCTCTGTGTTCTCTGGGGTGCTCGAGGCGGCATTCCCCGCATAGCTGGAATTGCGGAGCTTCTCTGTGTTCCTCTCCAGTTCGGCCATGCTCTTCAAATAGGACGTTACATGTCCTAGTTCCTCGACTGAGCCTCCGAATTTTGCTTTGTTCAGAGGGTCGTTGAGGTGGCATAGCAACCACCCCACTGACCAATCGCCGCCGTCCACTGCAGTTTGGTGCAGACTTTTGAGGCAAAGGACGACCTGCAAAGCTGCTCTTTCCCACTTCTCCTTCAGCATGAGCTCTAGCACTTCTGAAAACATGAAGTGGCACCGCTGCAGAGTCTTTTGTTTGCCCCATGGCACTCTTCGCGATCCTTCGTGGATGCGAAAGGGGCGGCCCTGGGCTCCCAGCTCCTTCTCCAGATCTCGGACATAGCGCTTCACATAGCGCAGTGGGTGACGCTTCATGCGCCTCTTTGACGCTTCGAAGCCCTCGACTGCTCGAGCAGCTCCACTCTTCTTCTTTCTTTCCTCTCTTCCAGAACTGCTCACGGCGCTGTCTGAAGTGCTGTCGTCGTCGCTGTGTTGGCGGCGACGCCCATGCTTTCGACGCTGGTCTTTCTGCAAATCCTTGTACACCTGGAGAGTCACCCAGGCTTTCAGCGGATCTTGCTCCGAGGCCATTGTCTTGAGCATCATTTGACGACTCTGGTTCTCTCCTGAGTCTCCCTTGTCTTTGATCTGAAGCAGAGAATGGCGGCCACCTCGAGAATGCTGCTTCTCCTTGCTGCGACCTTCTCCACGAGTACCACTGTCTTGCCATTTCTTTTTCAGATTCCCGAGTGTCAACTGCAGATCGGAGTCGCGGGAAGAGCTGCTCTGACTGCTCTCTTCTTCGCTGCTTGAATCCTGTGGTTGAGGGCGAGATAAACTCTTGCGTGCAGGGCGCCGTTTCTCGGCCTTGGCACTTTCGCCTGCAGACAAAAAGACCATCTCTGTCTCTGAAGCTAGGGCATCTTGCCCCTTTTCCAGAAGCTCTTCGGCACTCAACTCCAGTTTCAGCAAGCTCTGTTTCTCGCAAAAGGCCACAAACTTGCTTGGGGGGCACCCCAAAAGACAAAATGTCTTTCCCTTGTGTTCTATCTTTGTCATTCCTTCCGGCATCTCCTTGGCTGAATTCGTTCTGATCAAAAGTTGGAGCCATCCACTGTTGGAACCCAAAAGTAGGGCTTCTCTCCATGCTGGCCACTCACTGTCTACCAACTTCACATACCCTATCCTTCCAACTCCAGAGTGCTCCATCCGAACACTGCAATCTGTTCAGTGCTCAGCTCAAATCGCTCAGCCTCAGCCAAATAACGGATCCCTGCCAATTCAAGGCTAGACTCACGCCTCCACCTGATGCCCTGGAACTGACGGTTGTTGAGCTCTAGGATGCCTGCGTATGCCCTCACACCCAAAGCCCAGTGCAAACCAGCAAATCTTTGACCCCACCCTGGAATATCCCAAACAGCGTATACTCTGAATTCAGGATGGGCGATGTCAATGGCAGCTGGAATCAACCGGCAGCACCCCAATCGGGTTCCGCTATCACCCCAGTTGACCACAAAAACCGCTGGTCCTCCAGCCAGGGGGGTATCTAAGGCACTGTGCTGCGCGGCTCTCGTTGACACTCCACTGCCAGCGCTCTCCAGGTTATCTACTGAAGAAGCAGAAGGCGAACTGCCTTCTTCTATGATCTGAGGCCCCGCAGCAACAACCTCGCCTGCACCTCTTGAGCGGCGACCACAAGGGATGAACTTACTTAACCACTTGAGCATGAGTGCTAAGGAGTCATGACAGGTTGGTCATGCAACTATATATGGTATATATATAATATATGCCATCATCCTCTGAATAGAAAACCAATAAATCTGGAAAGTAACAGTTTGCCAACCAAACAGTCAGTTCCGCTGGAAGATTCCTCCCCATCATTCCAGCAACATGATCTTTGTTTGAACTCTGTCCTGTTCTCCCTGGCCAAGATCTATGGCCAACAACCAGCATCATGACTATCAATATTTATCAGTTACATGTTCTCAAGTCAGAGTATCTATATATCAACAAAAGTTCCCAATATTATATATTGATGCGTATCTCAACATATATATCAACTATATTCTGAATATTCCCATGATCAACATTGAATTCCCAATATTATATGTATATTATCAACTATGGTTCGAATATTCCCAGATGTTTCAGCGTGAAATCCCATCCAGTACTGGTTGGTGGTTTTAACCATCTTGAAAAACATGAGTTCGTCAATGGGAAGGATTCTCCCATATATTCTGGAAAATAAAATTCACGTTCCAAACCACCAACCAGAGTATTTTAGTACCCTCTGGTAAACTGTCCCATAACGAACTGGGAAATCACCATTTTATAGCTGGGTAGTCATCAACTATTTCGACTGGGCCATGTTCAATAGCTATACCCTCTGGTAATTTAAAATAGCTATTGAAAATTGCCATTTATAGTGGATTTTCCCATGAAAAATGGTGATTTTCCATAGCTATTTTGACATAACCAGGCCGGGTATTTGGACCCCCGATCTGTCGATATCTGTCGGCCAGACACCCAAGCAGCTGAGACAAATCGCTCGATCCACAAAGAGCTCCACGGTGCCAGCGCTCGATCCATGGGCGTTCAGGACACACCTGCGGGACGCGAAAAGTGTTTTAACCCGGGCCAGGGGGGCCCTAGCCACATGAGGATTTTACAACATGGGGGATAGCCACATGGGGATTATGAATGAGATGTGAATGAGATAATTATGAATGAAATATGAATGGGATATTGGTTTTTGATGTTTTTTGTCCATCTAGAAAATAAAACAGGTTGCCAACTGGAAAAAATCACCCGTTGTACCCTGGACTTCTCAGGTTTGTCGGTTTGTCGAACCCGAAATTTGTGGCGTCGGCGTTGACGCGTTGGAACATTCATATGGGGTCTATATCTATTATATATACCCAAATGTATCTCTATGCTGTTGTTCCTTTCATATCCTTTCACATTTGAATATCCTAAATCATCTAAATCTGTGATGGAACGTTCAAATCAGATAGGATGTGAAAGCAACAACAACATAGAGATGGGGGGCGCATATATTCCTGACAAGTTTCGAACTGACATAGAAAAACGAGCCACGAATTCGTACTATAAGGAGGAATGTGGTCAAGATTGGTCAACTCAATAATAATGGATACTATAAATCCTGGTGATTATAGATCATGGGATAGACTAAATAATAGATACTATAAATAAATGGGAGAGTGACTCAAGCAATTTAATAATCCTATCCCAAAAATCACCAGAAATTCGCATCATGGATATGGATCATGGATACCAAAAAGACCCATCCACTGTAGGCTTATGGCGCCAGGCCAAGCCATGAAATCCATGAAATCCATGGGACATCCGAGATTTCGGATGTCCCATGGGTGGCACCGTTGTTGTTTTTGTTTTTTAACCAAGGTTTACCTAAAGTTTACCGGTTTACTCCCAGATGCAAAACGAAAATTCTTTCAAGTGTTTGCGCCAACTAATTTCAAGTAGTGCAGATTACTGTAATCTATTTCCAATGATTATGCGAATTACTGGTTAACAATGATTAGCTGGCTTGCAATGTATATCAGGTATTAGACCACATCGCTGATTCATAATCTTACCCAATAATAAACCGCACCCAAAATCACCATAGATGGGTTGTAAAAACCATCCCCAAATGGTAGGTTTATGGCATTTCGTTTGCCACGTTATTCCAATGATCCATCAATTAAACATTAATCATCCACTGTTGCTGGTTCTACCCCCATGATTAACCATTGATTGACCTATCAATTATATAACCAATATATACCAATATAACCAACATGAAATGGGTATAACACCATTGGGCATCCATTTTTTAACCAGACTATAACCTTATTTTGATTACCCATGAATGAACTATATTGGGATGAGTGGGACAAAATGATCAACTTGTCAACTATATTCCCATTTCATCCCATGATTGCCGGTTAAATCCATATGTTACGACCTTATCAGACATTTTCGATACATTGGGATTATCCCACTAGAGATTCCCTATAAATTCCATTATATCCCCACTAGAAATTCATCTTATAGGGATATAATTTGAATCTATAGGGATTTTTTTTGTGTGATTTCCATTGGGATTCTCGGATTATCCCACTAGGATTATCTCATTGGGATAATCCCATAGTAATCCTAATAGTGAGATAATCCCACTATTGGAAAATCCCATAATCTCACCCAATGGGTATCCCACTATTAGGATGATCCCAGAGATTTTTCCCCAAAAAGTGACCCACTTTTTGAAAACGACGACACCGGCCGTGGAGGTCACAAACGTCACCTCTCGCCCAAGATCTGCAGGACTTCCAGCAGGGCCACTCGCTCTACGTCCCCATGGCGGCGGTACAAGCGCCCGTAGGCCTGGCGCTCCTGGGAAGGGACCGTAGCTGCTGGAAAAGCCCTGAGTGTTTCAGGAACATGTTGTATTTATATGTATTTATGTATTGTAAATGGATGTTTTAGGATGTTTCTAATGGAAGAACATCGAACAAACATCTACTATAGCTGGAGCAGTGTCCAAAGCTGTTTGATTGAGTTGAAACTGGGGAACATGATGGAACGTGTGGAATCTCAAAGAGAGTCAGCCTGATGAGCAGTTGCTCCAATCCCACTGGGCTGCGTCAACCGCAACACGAGCAGTGACCCCCCAATGATAGCCGGTTGGCAAACGGTTACACACAAACACACATATTTATTTATTTATATATATATAGATGGATATTATACACATTATACACATATATATATATATATATATATCTGTGTGTGTCTGTGGGGTTGTTGGAAGTTGATAAACCCTGAAAAGGGCGGCGCGATTCAAATTCTTCGGGCCAGCGACTCAGCGACCCTTGGGCGGAATCCCCATGATTTCATGGTGACGACTGGGGATTTCGTCCCCTTGGCAATCCAAGAATCCACATAACCCAGGTCAACGCTCAGGAGCCGATCTGCCTGGGCGATCATGTCCCCAAATTTCCATGGCTTAGCTGATGGAATCATATACAAATTTATGCATGTATATATATATATATGTATGATCATATATGTAGTAAACATGAGTAAACCATGGTTTGTACCTCCAAATGTAGGTTTTGCCTGCAAGATGTTCAAGGTTCCAGCAGAGCAAAGATGAGCAAAGTATCACTTTTTTCGGGGTGACGAACCAAATTCATCAACCCGGCTTGATCCAGAGTTGGCAATGCCAAATGTTGAAGGGGACACCCGCCCCAAGATAGAAGTCTTGGGCGGCTCCTGTGAAACATCTGCTTGGTGGTTGGGCCATGTTGGGCCACTCATCAGAATCTCAAAAAATCTAAAAGTTGGAAGATGGGATCATCCCCTTTTCAAGTATGAATCCCCAACCCTTCAAGACGCTCAACTGAAATACGTGCCAAAACACGTATGCCGCATGCCGAATAATATTCGCATATGTTATCATATGTTGTGGCGAAGCATTTCCTTGCCCTTTGGTTGCGATAATGGCAGTTAGCTTTCAGGCTGTCGGTGGCAGCCAAAGATGGTAAAAGTATCCATTTTTCGCATCCGACCTTCCGAGCTTCCAAAAACTGCCGTGCTGCATCTGTTTCCGCTTTCATGTTCCTTGCAGCCGTGAAGACCAACTTGCGCCCTGGCGGAATCATAGGATCTTCATGGATCTTCTTCCCAGATTTTACGTTGGCAAGATTGGGGTGTTAAAACGTTGTTCGCAAAGATTCAGCATTTGACATATCTCGACATTGCTTGGTCCTAAAGACTTCGATTTTTTTGATTGAACATCGGGAAAAATAAACATCTTAGTCTTATTACTGTATTATATTATTCAATTCAATGTCCCAGTAGATGTTGTGCCAAATTGAATAAAACATCAATGATCGGATCAATTAGGGTTTTCTGAACACGATTTGTTTTCCCCAAATTTCATCATTTCCGCCTGCCATGGCCATGAAATATATGGCCTGTCCCACTATAATTAGAAACGATAGAAACCTCCCCAGCCAAATTTTCAGGGCCTGCCATCGCTCCGGTGCCCTCTCCGCGACAACGCAGGTCCCATGACAAGACTCCCAGCGCGCGCAAGGCCCAAGGACTTGATGTGTCGGTGCGACGCCGTTGCCTTCCAGGCCCCATTTTGAAAGGGCTCCCAACAGAGCTATGATCAGCTACAAGGGACTATATCAATGGGCGAAATATAGTGGTAAGATGACTCATTTGCCGTGTAGCTATAATTTACCAACATTTAATTGGAGCAACCCTGTTTTGGCGGCTTACAAATGAAGATACAAAGGTGTTGACCAAAATTTAGCACCCCCAAAACAAATGGAAGAGTTGGAAAGCAGGAATTTACAGGGAAAACATCATCGAACTAGCATCCTGGAAACACTGTTCAGCATCCTGGAAATGAGGGTTATCATAGGGATGATTGAAATCAACCAGGCTCATTTTTCCGATTTTCCGGGCATCATGAATACAAGTATTATAGCTCCGTGATGGTTGTGCAAAAAAGCAGAATGGGAATCCAACCCAAAGGCAGGATCAAATAAGCTGCTTCTTCAACCAAGGTGGTGGCCACTCCCCATAGTTCGACTCGTTTTTGACTCAATATCAAGTCTTACATGGGATTTGTGCTAGTGACTGCTAGTGAATTTTGTAAAGCCAAGTTAATTTACAGTAGATGAGGATTGATAATTAGGATCTTTCCCTTCGGCAATCGTCTGGGAAATCCCGAATGAAAAATGGAGCTTTATCTTTGTAAAATCAGCAGATTTCCCAGCCATGTTTGATGACACCGGATGGTATAAAAATCAATCTGCAGCTCCGTGCCGGTCCGTGCCCATTACAAGTTCATTTTCAGCGCATGACATAGCCCTCCATTTTACATATCCCATTATGTAGCCAAGATATGAATCCATCAACCTACCCGGTTTACAATTCATATCAATCTACAGCAAACCATGTCTTTTGCCATCTCTCATTAGGGCTTTCCGCGAAAAAGTCCCAGCATGAAAATGCCTTAAACATCCTCAATATTAATATTAACCAACATTAACCAATACTAACCATCATACTACTGGTCAATTCAAATATTGGTTGATATTGGTGAAAATATCATGTGATAGTTAATTATTTATATAATCAATAGCTGGTTATCCCCCCATATATCAATATATCATCAATATTGACCATCAAATCCATTCATTGAATATCATAAATCAATAGGCTGGTTAAGTATGGTTAACCCGTCAAATATCATAAACCATCCATATCCAAAATCCATCCATCACTCCACCCTGCCTCAAGACCTCCCTGGCCGCGCTGCGCGCGAACTCTCCTGAGGCTGGGACCACCCCCAGGGCCCGTAACAGCGGCGCTTGCCAGACCAGCCCCAGATCTGCCAACTGGCCGCGCAGGTCACACGAAACCCGGTGAGTTCTTGCAGTTTGCCAACTGGAAGGCCATGACAGACATGACAGATGATAAAATCCTTGATTCATTCATCTTTGTGGATTGAAGAAAATATCACAAAATAGGTCATTATATGTAAATATCATGTCAAACCATGCAAAACCCAGATAAAAATCATTAAAAATCCATAAAACGTCCCAATCTTCACATTCTCCACCCATCTGCCTGAAAGCTCAGCAGTTCCTGGGCATACTGCGCTCGCGGCAGCCGCCGCTCGAAAGGCACCGTGAAGTCCCGCAGGGCGCGGCAAAGTCGTCGCAGGTGGCGGCCCCAGGGCCTCTTTTTGGGGCCGAAAAATGGGACGGTTTTAGCTTCCCAAGAATCCAACAGATTGAATGGTGGTTAATGGTGGTTAATGGTGGTTAATGGTGGTTAATGGTGGTTATGGAAAGTTTGTTGACATTTTTTTCTTGGAAAGTTGGGACATGTTGGGACAGTTGCCACTTCAGTCAGTTATAGGAAAAGTTCTTTATATGGTTGATGGAAAGTTATGGGAAAGTTATGGAACAGTGAAGAATCTTTATTGGAAAATTGACCTGAAAAGTTCCAAAAGGCCTTGGCGTGGCCTGACTTTGCAAAGTTGCCACTTCCGTTGAACCTGGGCTGATGCCGGCCTCAACACTTCTTCGCGCCACCAGGGTGGCATCTCTGAAGTGCTCCTGCCACCTTCGGGCGATGGATGTGATTGGATCATCCGGATGTGGTGGGAATGCTATGGCGGGGAAGTGGAAATGCTTCGTATTGATTCATATTGACATACCCATTGCTAACATTTACCATCAATATACCCCAGTCATGTTAGCATTAATATACCAGCACCATGGATCCGTCATGGGATATATTGACATACTGATCTTCAGCACAGAGATCATGTTTGCTGCATGTACCTGCTCCCGTGTGGAGATACTCCCCCAGTGATCTAGGGAACCGACTAGTCGATCCAGCAGTGCTGGAAGCTGCTTGGAGGATCATCCCACTTAGTAACTGGTGAAAACAACCCTGGTTAGTACCCTCTGGTAAACATACAAAAAAACTATTGAAAATGGCCATAGAAATAGTGGATTTACCCATGAAAAATATGGTGGTTTTCCAGTTCGTTATGGGACAGTTTACCAGGCCGGGTAAGTCTATGGGATATGCTGATCCTAGATGATGATCCAAGGGGCTCACGGCATCTCACGGCCGCCACCCGGCCGCGCGCCTCTCGCTAACGCACCCAAGAGCACAGCAGGGGTGTCGTCACTCAGCCGCGCGCGAATCAGACTCTGGTGCTGCCACAGCACCTGGCTGTTCAGGCTTGGTCCAGTTTGGTCCACTCAGTTTGGTCCACTGGAAATGTGGCTTACTTTAACTAACTCATAGTTTTCATGGATGTTGGTGGATATTTCATGCTAGAAAACCATAGTTTTTGACCAACCAATAGTGCCCGAACTAACCAACATCAAGTCATGGGACCCGCCAAAGGTGACCCGAATGGCTCACCATTGGAGGGTTTATTCCATAAATGCATATAGTATATATATATATCCCCCATTGCATACCCACTATTCTCGGTTTTATACCCCAATGTTGTGGGTTATATAATAAATAAGAGTTTAAAACAAATTTTAAGGTCGGCTGCATCATCATTAAGCCCTCATATTCCCATTAGAACCCTATTGTAATCTGATAATCCCCTTCTAATCCAAATGTATTCGGGTGACTGAAGGAAAATCCAATTTATAACCAGCTATAACTCAAGAAAAGCTTTAAAAAAAACGATCAAAAATCCGTTTGTTTTCAAGAAAATAACCATGTATAACCACTTCAAGACATGTATATCCAAGATACTAATTTTAAACAAATATATATATATACCATTTGGTTATTTAACACAGCCATGGAAAATCACAATTTTTAATGACGGTAAGCCATCTATAAATTAGTCATCTATACCATGGCTATGTCCGTGGTGTTTCCCATGGTGAAACCACTGGCACGCCTGGCGAAAGGCGTGAGGAGCCATGAGGCGTTCGAGGGAAAGCCTGGGAGGGCCCTAGGGTAAACGTTTACTAGATTAATATGATTAATGTGGGTAAAACAAGGCCATAAACCAGCCATGACTGGGAATGGTTTATACCACTTATTTATGGTGATGACTGGGGGATGGTTTATTATTATTGTTTTACCCACATTAGTACTAGATTAACGATTAATATATATTTTTTTAAAAAAAAAAACTTTCTGTGATTAGTACCATGATTAGTACTAGAATAATATGATTAATAAGTAACCTGATGTGGAAAAAACACCATTTGTACTAGATTATATAATATTATTAGTATTAATACTACCCTACTAGGTAGTAATAATAATATGAATAATGAATTAGTGAAGGACTAATTATTCGATTACCATATCAATAGTGAAGCCCTAAATATGGTAATGTTGGCGTAAATGGAATACTTGTAGTAGTAGTTCCATTAGTTTAAGGGCTTAATCATGGAATTACCTAATATTCTCCAATTACTTAATATTCTCTATTGATGTGAACAGTAATTTATCGCATTATATAATGTTCTGTGACAATAGTAATAACACTGCTGTTACCATGCATCATATTTATCAGTCATTATCAGTAATTACCATTCATCACCCTCATTAATTATCACTGTACTGATGTGTCGAAGTAATAATCGTAGTGATTATTATGATAGCAGTTTGTTTGCCCTAATGATAATGAAATGATAGTAAACAGTTCTTACTATCTATATATATATATATCATACTTACTCCTAGAATAATATGATTACTACGCTGCTGCTACTACTACTACTGCTACTACTACCACCACTACCACTACCACTACCACTACTACTCCTACTGCTACTCCTACTTCCACTACTACTACTGCTGCTGCTGCTTCTACTACTACTACTACTACTGCTACTACTGCTACTACTCCTGCTGCTGCTACTAGTAGATGATATCATTATTAGTTACTCTCTCCATTATTAAGTACTATTCTATAAATATATATATATATTACTACTAAATAAGTAATAATGATATGATAATTGAAGCCCTAATGGGGAAGCCCTAATGGGATTGAAACCCTATCATAATATCTCATTACCGTTATATTACAATATTAGTGCTAACGGTATTACTGTAGATAGTAATAATGTGAGTAATTATAATGTTAATATGGTAATAATAGCTATTAGAAATCATTATCATGTCAGTTTACTGCTATGTTATTCGTACTACTACTATAATTCCCATTACTATCACGTTTATGTATATATATATATATATTATGTTTATAATTCTTACTATCATAGTAATCGTTATGATGTCATTATTGTTGGCATCACATTATAGAAATAACAATACTACTATATAATGATAGCAATAGGGATGACAATCGTAATCGTAGTAACAATTGTAAAACAAATTATGACTATATGATATCCCACGATTATTACTTATATTACTATAATTATGAGCCTGCAATAATGGTTTTATGAAATGGTCGGGAATGACTACCACTACCATCATTATTCCCATTATTACCATTATCACTATTGCTATTCTCACTATTAATTCTGGCGTCAGAAGTAGTGTGGACGGTTTCATGGCCCCAAAACAATGGGTTTGAAAAATTCGATGTTAGTTTTCAAGCGAACCTAGCCACTGGAAACGGCAACCAGGAGGAGATTTACAAATATTGATCCGCTGGAATCAAGAGATCCGTGATAGCCCGTGCAGGATATTGATACCTAATGATGTTTTATATTAAATATACATATTAGTTATATTATGATATATTATGTATTGATAGTGATATAAAATGAAATGATATTGATACCTAATTGATACCATACTATCTAATGAAATCTAATTAGAAGCAATCGAGCTTTGTGATAATTTTGATGAAGAGGTGGTACCTCTGGATCCCTCTGGAAATTGATGACAATTGGCGAGTTTCCCATTGATATGCCATTTTTTAGGGCCGAATACATGCGAATACAAGGTACCTCTGGTAATTTAACAATTTAATAGGTTTCTGCGGAAAATCATCCTTATAACAGCTAAATTTGCTAAATCATCGAACTAAATTGGCAATTTCCCCTTACCAAGTCTTGGCCCAAATAGTTGGCTTCTGGTGGCTTCATGTGGTTTCACTAAACGTCTCATTGAACAAAAGTGGTTTCAAACGAATCAATGTTACCACAAGTCCACAAGAAAGCCTTGCATGAAAAACACAATGGAAATGATGGTGAAAGAAGCGGTTTCACGATATTCACCCCCCTTATATGAGGATTAAAAAACAACATTTTGTGATATCATACGGTCCCAAATATGTGGTTTCATCAACCGCGAAACCATGATTTCTGGTGTTGCACTTGGATTTCATCAGAGAAAAAGAAACGGAACAAGTCCTGGTGTACGTTTGGGAAAATATGTGTTTTTCCAAAGCCAAGGCGCAGCATGGAAGCAGTCTCCACAGGGTCAGCATGAGAGATCGTCGGTCCTGCTGATGGCCAACCAAAACTATGGAAAATCTGCATTTTTAATGGGTAAATCAACGATAAAAAGGCAATTTTCAATAGCTTTTTGTATGTTTACCCCAGGGTAAACCTGCAAAAATAGGTTTTCTTGCCAACCAAAATTGGAAGGGGAAAAACTACGGCGGTTTGGATCTTTAATGGTTGTTGGTTTTCTGGCGAAATGTTACTCAGAAGATGCTTGGCTTGTGCGTCGTTTAAAGCAATTCAGGGAAATTGGGACCAACATGCGGTTGGGGCTTGACATTATGGGTTAAGACTTTCCATTAGTATTCTCCCCACGGGGTACCGACCAATGGCGTACAAAAGCAAAAAAATAAGCAGGTTGGTTTGGTACCCTTTACCGAATGTGTTTGTTCAATGGGACTTACCCTTCGACAAATTGGATAAGGACATCTACCAACCAAAAATCCATGACCACATGGCTGAAAGTATGAACAAATCTCCCAAAAATTGGAAGTTCAATGGGATAATCATCCTCGCTGGGGGATTTTCCAGCAAGCCATGGTACATGTTTGATTACTCGCCAGGGTACCGAAAGTATTCGGCTCAATGGAAAATTGCCAATGTTGATCTAGAAGTTTCACGATGTGCCCATGTTCATACATCAGGATAAGTTACCAAAGGGCATCTCTTGATCGAAAAAACATTCGATTACACTACGATCTGTCACGATTGCGCCCCAACCGGATGGTTGCTTGTAGATCTAAGTCATCAATGTTGCTGGAAATACTGTGGATGGTTGCGAAATCCCTCACCAGTTCGTTGGTGATCCTTTCAACATTTTTCCACCATCCTTTCGGTGGTGCAGGATTTCTTTCATCCACAGTTTCCCCACGGTGTCCTGCATGCGCAGTAGCGTGGGCCACTAAGTCCAAAGGCACCAGGGCTTGAAACGGCGTTCGCCTGACAGATCTGACAGTGGGCAACAGAGAAACCCTCCAAAGAACATGAAAAGAAAGTGGGATTTCAGGGGGTTATCTATTTTTAATGGGATATGAAGTGGTTGATGGGAACATCAATGGGAATATTCATGGGATACATCATCAACAATCTGAGATTTGTGTGTCACCTGTGTGTCTGAAAATGGTGTCAAACCCATAAAATTGCCATTGAATGGGGAGCCTGGGCCTAATGACTAGCGATACTCGGATAGCCATGGCCCATAGTTGGCCTGCTTTTTTGACACAGTGAATCTTCCATCATCCAACTCCCTGAACATTAGGGTTGGGTTTTATGGCTAGGCAAGAAGCCACGGAAACTGTTGCATATTTTTTGGATATAAATGCGATTGGATAACATGGGATTTTGGCCCGTAAGCCACAGCTGAAGTTGGATACTATGGATTCATAGATGGGATCAATGGGTGGACATGTTCCATGTCAGACAATATAATGTGACATCGTCCAATTCCATAAGTTACTCAGAGGGGATGATAGATCTACAGGACACCCGAATGGATAGCTCTTTTTGGATCACCAAGATTCACAGGTGCATTGCCCTGGTGATATGAAATTGACCCAAATGGACCCCAATCAGGCATCAGCCATAGCATATTCTACAATACATCCAAACATAATCATATTTATATATATATATGTATTTATTTATTTATTTATTTATATTTAGATTTAGATTTATAGTTATATTTAATTATATATATATACATCAACATATGTTTATATATATATGTGTGTGTGTGTATCGACATGAGTCGAGTTGGTCGCTTGAGTAGCATTGAGCAGCCCCCTTGGCTCCTTGGCTCAAGGCTGGTCAACCTACCGTTGAAAGGGACGCCTCAGGATGCTTGTCAGCAGCCACACCGTTTCCACGCAGTCCTCCTGAAGCAGAGGACCCAGCGATCAGCCGACGGCCATTTTGGGGCCATTCTGGGATAGCTACAGCTACCCCAATCCTAATCTCACGTGATCAAATTCATCCAATCCCCATATTCCCATGTTTACCATTTGTGTTGCTTGAATCCCTTTTTCTGGGCTAAATATGATCATACAAATATCCTTTGTGCCGCCTCTCTGAGTCTCCACTCACTCCACGGCCATGAGATCTCCTTCTGGTAGCTTAACAGAGCTATTGAAAATGGCTTATGAAAATTATGGATATTGATTGATCGTAATTATATGTTCATGGTGGATTTTCAATCATGTAACAAATTGAGATACCGGGTAACCATTGTACCGTACTCTGCTCCTGTGGCCACTTCTCACGGCTCTTCCACAGCGCCGACATGAACGCTCGCCTCGCAAAGATCATTGGACTCGGACCATTGTAGGAACATTTCGTCCACAACCCCTACAAAAGACTTAAAGATAGACAAACAAAATCTGACTAAACTATGATTCTATCTTTTTTGGGGCGTTACTATACTCATAATCTCTCTCCATCGCCATCTCTATACTAATAGACCGTTGTCTGTAGTTTGTTGAAGTTTTGGAATGCCCGAAATGTGGCATGCAACCTGCTTGCCAAACCCCGGGGATGAAATCCTAGTGATTGTGGAAACGCTCTCGTTGCGTCAGATGCCCCCTGGGGAAAAAAATATAATATATATATACACATATATAGACAGATTTATTTTATCTATGTGTTTATATATTTATTTATTTGCATTTATATTAAAACTACGCATGTTATCATCTATAACTATCTATCTATCTATCTATCTACCTATCTATCTATCTATCTATCTATCTATCTATCTATCTATCTATCTATCTATCTATCTATCTTCATATATGCACATAACCCCATCGTTGATCAAATCCAACATTAAACCACCTATAGGTACCAGAGCAACCAAAGCACCACATGGGCGGACGCACAGCTCGCAGCAGGGCCAAATGCTCCAGCAACTGCAACGACCTGGGGAAAAAAAAACTGTGGTCTTCAGCCGCAAAAATGGTGATGTTCACTACATTATTATGACATTTCACCATCAAAACATATCAAAACATATCAAAACACATATCAAAACTGGGATTTGACATCAACATTTGGGATTTAAATGATTTAGCCATCAAAACATATCAAAAACGTGTGGGGATTCAACTTGATTCAACCAGCAGAAACCTCCATAACGCACGACGTGCACCTTAACAGCTCCTGCGGCTCCAAGCCCTGCGCTAACCTGGGCTCAGACTCTGCGCATTTACTGGGCTAAGATTACTATAGGATTATTGGTATTATGATAGGATGACTACTAGGACTATTAGGATTCTATTCCAATAAGATTACCCTCTGGTTATTTAACATAGTCATGGTATAGATGGCCCATAGAAATAGATGGTTTACTTGGGTTTACCTATTAATACCATGGTGATTTTCCATGGCAAACTGTTAGTCATAACCAGACGGTAACAATGGATGATTGGGATGACATTCCAATATGAGATGGGACCGTTTCTAAGTGAATAACTTACGTATCAGGATGAAAAATTGGGTTTTTTTCGGTCCCCACTCGTATTTTGTTGGATTATAGTATACTAACTAGCTAACTAGCTAATTTGCAAGATCATAGGTTCCAATTCATAACCTATAGCGTTGAAATGGCTTTTATAAACCATAACAATCAGTTCCCCGTAATCATCTTACGGCTTATCATTAAGCCTTTCCAATAGTATTCATTTAATCCCTTCTTCCTATTACTAAAACTCCCCAGATAAAAAGAAAATAGGATTGGTGTGGCACTTCCGTTTTTTTTTGGTTCGAAATCCAGCTTTTGGCAATTTTTTATATAATTTTGTCATACTAGTAAGGGAATTAATCAAATTTGAAATCGTTTTTTTTAATTATTATTAGGGTGTTTCATTGGAATATTGGGGGAAAGCTTCGAAATCCAGCTTTTGGCAATTTTTTATATAATTTTGTCATACTAGTAAGGGAATTAATCAAATTTGAAATCGTTTTTTTAAATTATTATTAGGGTGTTTCATTGGAATATTGGGGGAAAGCTTCGAAATCCAGCTTTTGGCAATTTTTTATATAATTTTGTCATACTAGTAAGGGAATTAATCAAATTTGAAATCGTTTTTTTTAATTATTATTAGGGTGTTTCATTGGAATATTGGGGGAAAGCTTCGAAATCCAGCTTTTGGCAATTTTTTATATAATTTTGTCATACTAGTAAGGGAATTAATCAAATTTGAAATCGTTTTTTTAAATTATTATTAGGGTGTTTCATTGGAATATTGGGGGAAAGCTTCGAAATCCAGCTTTTGGCAATTTTTTATATAATTTTGTCATACTAGTAAGGGAATTAATCAAATTTGAAATCGTTTTTTTTAATTATTATTAGGGTGTTTCATTGGAATATTGGGGGAAAGCTTCGAAATCCAGCTTTTGGCAATTTTTTATATAATTTTGTCATACTAGTAAGGGAATTAATCAAATTTGAAATCGTTTTTTTTAATTATTATTAGGGTGTTTCATTGGAATATTAGGGGAAAGCTTCGAAATCCAGTTTTTGGCAATATTTTATACAGATGTTAATAAGATTAATAAGGGATTTAATCAAATTTGAAATCGTCGTGTTTGTTATTTTTATTATTATGGTTTTTCATTGGAATATTAGGGGCACCCTAATACAAAATACCCCCTAATAGTAAAAATAGATCACCGTGTTTACCATGTGTTATGGGGTGCTTTAGTAATGGGGAGAGAGGATTACCATCTGGTTATTTAACATAGCTATGGAAAATCCATTGTAAATGGAGGTTTGACTGGGAAAATCATCTATAAATGGGCCATTTTCATCAATTTTCCATAGCTATGTTAGTCATAACCAGATGGTAGATATGAATCCCCTCCCCATAGTGGCTCCAACAATCCTATCCTCAGCTGGGCGGCTCGTCATCGATGTGTGGCTGGAGCGCTTGTACCACGCCCACATCCCACAAAGCACCTTTGAGGACCGGAGAACGGAGAAACTCCGGGAAAATCCACAATTCGTCATGCCTTTCAAAAGTCCATGGTGTTTGGATGTGTTTACTATTGAACATCTACAGTACAGGAAGCCGTGGGTTTTATATAGTTTTTGCCACGTTTTTATGGTTGAACATGGATGAAACTATGGCATTTTTCCTGCAAATCCAAGGCCGACCAACTGCGTGGGATGAACCCTTCAATGGAAGTAGGCAAGTGGATTACCTTATATTTGAGACCACATCAACTGTATCATTATCAGTATATATCAGTATCATGTACATCAGGGCCTATCAATGCCAAGCATCCTTCAATCCATCGGCAATTAGTTCACCAAACAAAGGCCAGGAAACACAGCGAAGACTGAACAACTTTGTATTATGATAAACAGTGTGATAAACAAAAACATTTAAAAAAAACTCAACAATACATCAGGTGTTGTGTTGAGTTGTCAGTTACACACCCAACCCTCGTCAGGTTTGGTGGTCTTGATCGCCAACCACTTTTACTGCGATTCCAGTCAACCATCAATCCCAACCATATTTGGCGAGTAAAATCATCCATGAGTCCATGATCACACTTACCTCTGGTAATTTAACGTAGCTATTGAAAATGGCCATTTATAGTGAGTTTTCCCATTAAAAATTGTGATTTTCCATAGTTATATATAGTTATGTTAGTTTACCAGAGGGTAATCCATGATTTGAGTTGGTTGATTGGTGAACTCCGATCTTTTTGATGACTGGACCATGGTTTATCTTGCTTCTATGAAAGATGTTTTCCGTTCAAATCGGTGGTTGGTCGCTTGCTGTTTTATTGGACTGACCAAGACCTACCAAGAAAAGTGCCCTGAACATCAACTGGGACCTGGGTCCTGAGTCAAGCGAGCCACGATTCCATTGGTCAACCCGGGTGTTCAGAAACTCTCGGATAGACCTGCGACACCGGGGCGATCCATGGTGCGTTTTGCGGGGAAGCACCTGCTCCAAGTGATCCAAAAGTGGGGAAATATGGGGAACCGAATCAACAAACATTGAACATTGCTGTATCCAATTGTATAATTCAAATCTCCTTTGAATATCTCTGAATGCGAGTGCATGTCAAAACAGATGATGTCACTAGCAATCATGGAAAAGCAGCCACAAAGCGCACAAAGGAGTTGATGAACGAACGCACTGATCTAGAGGACAAATGTGTATGTATATATATATAGACACATATACACAAATATACATATATACATATATACACAAATATACATATATACATTTAAATATGTACACATATATACATATATATATATATAGGCATATATATATATGGACATATACATATATACATATATACATATATACATATATGCATGTATACATATATACATATATACATATATACATATATACAAATATACATATATACATATATATACATATATATATATACATATATATACATATATATACATATATATACATATATATACATATATACATATATATATATACATATGTACATATTTACATATATACGTATATACATGTATACATATATACATATATATATACATATATATATATATACATATACATATATATATATATACATATATACATATATATACATATATATATATGTGGAGGGGACCTTTATGTATAGAATGACGGGGTTCTGAAACCACAATACTGGCACCTGCAGCTCACTTTTTTGGGAAACAAATGTTCTCACAAATGAACATGGGTCAAATTTTAAGACTTGAGGGATCACAGGTTTTTAGTTATTGTCAGGTGAAGGTCTCTAGACTTCTCCACAGCTTCTTGCCCTCCCCCCTCTCCACCTACAAAGGAGAAAGACGTAGAAAGGGGGTGAAGCAGGTGGAAAGTTGTGGGTGGAAGGGTAGGTGGAAGGGGTGGATACGGTTGGAGAGGTTGGGTGAAGATGATGCTAGGGTGATGCGAGGGTGGGGCGAGGTTGGAGCGATGGTGGAATGAAGGGTGGGGTGTGGAGAAGGTGATCAAAAATTGATACCAAGTACAAGGATACATCTACTGTATTTCTTCACATCCTTTGCGCGATCCACTCCTTGGGATTCTCTTCTTCCCTTTTCACTTTCCAGCGGCTTTTTCTCTTCTCTCCCCCTCTCCACCCTTCTACATGTCCATCTCCGCTCAATACCCTCATTCCTCTTTCCGAAAAGAATCTTAGGGGCAGAAAGTGTGGAGAGTAGTGAGCAGGGATGGAAAGCGGAGAGAATTAAATGAAGTTGGGGTGATGGGCGGGGTCACGATGAAGAGTTGGGCGGTGGGCGTAGCGAAAGGCAGATGGATGGAGAAAAAGAACATGTACATCAAATAGATGCAAGCAATTCATCCTGACTGCTTTCTTATCTAGCCGTTTCTTTCTTCAAAACTACTTTAAAGTTCAATTGTGATTGCCTTTTCCAGCTCCAGCTTATATTTGCTTGCAAAGATCAAAATTAAAATGTATGTCTACTTTCTTTTTTGGACATACTTTTCAATGTGCATTGGAACAAGTCTCTTAAGACATGATTCAAAAGCAGCAGTGCCATTACAAAGCATAGGGTGGACTAAGGCACTTTGCCTCTCAGGCAATGTAAAAGTGCATGCTTTTCGTTGCTTTTTCTGTGAGGGGGGAGCGAGGGCGGAGCGAGGGTGGAGTGAAGGGTGAAATGAAGGGTGGAGTGAAGGGCTGAGAAGGTCGCCAAAAATTGATACAAACGATAAACGATGCATATTTATTTCGTTTTTTGCTTGATCCACTGCTTGTGCTCCTTCCCTTGCCTTTTCACTTCTCCGCAAACTTGTTCTCTTCCATCCCCCTCTCCACCCTTTACATGTTCATCTCTGCCTCCACTCAACACCTGCATTCCTGTTCTGAAGATAAGGTGCTAGGGGACAAAGGGGTGAAGAGGAGTGAGCATGCATGGAAAGCGGAGAGGGTTAAATGAAGTTGGGGTGATGGGCAGGGTCGCGATGAAGGGTTGGGCGGTGGGGTGTAGTGAAAGGCAAATGGGTGGAGAGAAACAAAAATACGATACATACATAAACAGTTCATCCGGAACGGAAAATGCAAAAAAAATGCAACTTCCAACTTGCGACGTTGCATTTTCTCCGCTGCATTTTTTTGCAATTTTGATCAACTTTTGTATTGTTTTTACGAAAAAAAAACGTAAAAAATGCAAACAAAAATGCAACGGCACCAAAACAAATGCAACGGAGAATGCGAAAAAATGCAACTTCCAAAGTTGCATTTTCTGAGTTGCATTTTTTTTGCAACTTGCGACGTCGCATTTTCTTAGCTGATTTTTTTCCTTTTCGAAACTTGCGACATTGCATTTTCTAATTTGCTTGTATTTGGAAAGCTCCTCCAACAAGCAACACATTTAGGGGCTGGCAAACTGAGAAAAATCTCACTCCCAACCCTGAGTCTCCAAAACTAGTAAATTAACTAATTTAGTAAATTTACTAAAAGGGAAGAATTTACGTATTTTTTTCTCCAGTTTTCTTGATGTTAGTAAATTTTGTGAAAAACCAAAAGTGCATCATAGTGCATCAAAAGTGCATCGACCGTGCATTTTTTTCTTAGCATGTTTGATTGAAATTGTGATTTTGTAACACAAATGCAGCAGCATTTTTTAGATTTAGTGAATGTTGTTTTAGTTCACAATGTGACAATCCAATTTTTCCATAACAAAGGATTGGTTTTGTCACATACTTGTATGTTTAATGGATATGGCCAAGTAAAGCCAGAATCTTTGCAAGTGACCAGTCACGTAAGGACTTTTTATAGATTGCCAAAAGTAAAGTCAATATTCTCAGCACAACCCATCTCAAGTAAATTCTCTGATGGAAACATGTCTACCCTAAGTCTCCAAAGCTAGTAATTTCACTAATTTAGCAATTTTACTGATCCAGAAGATTTTGCATATTTTTTTTTGTGGATTTTTGCAGAATTAGTAAAATGTAAAAAAAAAGGAAACGTGCATCAAAAGTGCATCAAGAATGCGCCAAAAGATGTGTGATAGCTTTTCCGAATTTCCGTGAATCTGATAGTGGAGACAGAAGGAATGTCCAAATGTTGTGAGGAATGTGAAGAAATTAGCATGTGGAACCTGTATAAGTTTATGTCCTTTGAGTCCTTTGCTGCAAAATGTAAATACCATGAAAGAAAAACAAAATTTCTCCCAGTGACTTCTCAGGTAAAAGTAGATGTTCTGAAGTAAAGTCATCTTCGCAAACGATTTCTGAAGAAAAAAAATTATGAAATAAATTCAATGTAATACATATTGAAGGTATATACTTGACGTTATTTTGGCTCGTTGGCTTTTGCGGTTTCTTGGTTTTTGCATTTTTTACTTTTGAGTTTATTTGCATGCTTTTGTGAGAGGAATTGACATATGTTTTCAACAAGTGTCCTAATTAGCCCTTTTTTGGGCTCTGAAAACAGTATTTCAGGACACTTGTTGAAACCTATTCTCCCACTATATCTACTTGATTTGTGTTTCACCACGTTTTCCATGACTGTCACGGTTCTGCCTCAACATACGTTCCATATGGTCACAAGATGCATGTTGCCCAGTATTTTTCTCAGCCAAATCTTCTCCACGCGGACCTCCAAAATAAAATAAACATAATAAAAAAAATAAAAATAAATAAAATAGATATTTATTTTATTTATTTTATTTATTAAAATTTGGAGCTCCTGAGAAAATAAATAAAATAAATATTTATTTTATTTTTTTTATTTTCTCCGGAGCTCCAAATTTTAATAAATAAAATATAAAAAATATATATTTATTTTCTCAGCCAAATCTTCTCCACACAAACCTCCAAAATGAAATAAATAAAATAAATTAACTAAAAAAAATTAAAAAAATAAATAAAATGAATATTTATTTTATTTATTTTATTTATTAAAATTTGGAGCTCCTGAGAAAATACATAAAATAAATAGAATAAATATTTATTCTATTTATTTTATTTATTAAAATTTAGAGCTCCTGAGAAAATAAATAAAATAAAAAAAATATATTTATTTTATCTATTAAATTTGTGAGCTCCTGAGAAAATAAATAAAATAAATAAAATAAATATTTATTTTATTTATTTATTTATTTTCTCAGAAGCTTTGAAATTTAATAATCAAATAAATAAAATAAACATTTATTTTCTCAGCCAAATCTTCTCCACACAGACCTCCAAAATAAAATAAATAAAATAAAAAAAATAAAAATAAAATAAAATAAATAAAATAAATAAAATAAATAATTATTTTATTTATTTTATTTATTAAAATTTGGAGCTCCTGAGAAAATAAATAAAATAAATATTTATTTTATTTATTTTATTTATTAAAATTTGGAGCTCCGGAGAAAATAAATAAAAAATAAAATTAAATATTTATTTTATTTATTTTCTCCGGAGCTCCAAATTTTAATAAATAAAATAAATAAAATAAATATTTATTTTCTCAGCCAAATTTCTCCACACAGACCTCCAAAATAAAATAAATAAAATAAATAAAATAAATAAAATAAATAAAATAAATATTTATTTTATTTATTTTATTTATTAAAATTTGGAGCTCCTGAGAAAATAAATTAAATAAATAGAATAAATAATTATTTTGTTGATTTATTTATTAAAATTTGGAGCTCCTGAGAAAATAAATAAAATAAATAAAATAAATATTTATTTTATTTATTAAAATTTGGAGCTCCGAAGAAAAAAAATAAAATAAATAAAATAAATAAAATAAATAAAATAAATAAAATAAATATGTATTTTATTTATTTTATTTATTTTATTTATTTTCTCAGGAGCTCCAAATTTTAATGAATAAAATAAATAAAATAATTATTTATTTTATTTATTTTATTTATTTTCTCCGGAGCTCCAAATTTGAATAAATAAAATTAATAAAATAAATATTTATTTTATTTATTTTATTTATTTTATTTACTTTATTTACTTTATTTATTTTATTTATTTTCTCCGGAGCTCCAAATTTTAATAAATAAAATAAATATTTATTTTCTCAGCCAAATCTTCTCCACACAGACCTTCAAAATAAAATAAATAAAATAAATAAAATAAATAAAATAAATATTTATTTTATTTATATTATTTATTAAAATTTGGAGCTCCTGAGAAAATAAATAAAATAAACAAAATAAATATTTATTTTATTTATTTTATTTATTAGAATTTAGAGCTCCTGAGAAAATAAATAAAATAAATAAAATAAATATTTATTTTATTTATTTTATTTATTAAAATTTGGAGCTCCTGAGAAAATAGATAAAATAAACAAAATAAATATTTATTCTATTTATTTTATTTATTAGAATTTAGAGCTCCTGAGAAAATAAATAAAATAAATAAAATAAATATTCATTTTATTTATTTTATTTATTAAAATTTGGAGCTCCTGAGAAAATAAATAAAATAAATAAAATAAATAATTATTTTATTTATTTTATTTATTTTATTTATTTTATTTATTTTATTTATTTTGTTTTGGAGGTCTGCGTGGAGAAGATTTGGCTAAGAAAATAAATATTTATTTTATTTATTTTATTTATTAAATTTTGAAGCTTCTGAGAAAATAAATAAAATAAATAAAATAAATATTTATTTTATTTATTTTATTTATTTTCTCCGGAGCTCCAAATTTTAATAAATAAAATAAATAAAATAGATATTTATTTTATTTATTTTATTTATTTTCTCAGGAGCTGCAAATTTTAATAAATAAAATAAATAAAATAAATATTTATTTTATTTATTTTATTTATTTTCTCAGAAGCTTCAAATTTTAATAAATAAAATAAATAAAATAAATAAAATAAATATTTATTTTCTCAGCCAAATCTTCTCCACACAGACCTTCAAAATAAAATAAATAAAATAAATAAAATAAATAATTATTTTATTTATTTTATTTATTAAAATTTGGAGCTCCTAAGAAAATAAATAAAATAAATATTTATTTTATTTATTTTATTTATTTTATTTATTAAAATTTAAAGCTCCTGAGAAAATAAATAAAATAAATAAAATAAATAATTATTTTATTTATTTTATTTATTTTATTTATTTTGTTTTGGAGGTCTGCGTGGAGAAGATTTGGCTAAGAAAATAAATATTTATTTTATGTATTTTATTTTTTAAATTTTGAAGCTTCTGAGAAAATAAATAAAATAAATAAAATAAATAAAATAAATATTTATTTTATTTATTTTATTTATTAAAATTTGGAGCTCCTGCGAAAATAAATAAAATAAATAAAATAAATAAAATAAATAAAATAAATAAAATAAATAAAATAAATATTTATTTTATTTATTTTATTTATCAAAATTTAGAGCTCCTGAGAAAATAAATAAAATAAATAAAATAAATAAAATTAATTTTTTATTTTATTTTTTGTATTTATTAAAATTTAGAGCTCCGGAGAAAGTAAATAAAATAAATAAAATGAATATTTATTTTATTTATTTTATTTATTTTATTTATTTTATTTATTTTATTTATTTTATTTATTTTTTTTATTTTATTTATTTTCTCAGCCATATCTTCTCCACACAGACCTTCAAAATAAAATAAAAAAAAAATATATAATAATTTTTTATTTTATTTTTTGTATTTATTAAAATTTGGAGCTCCGGAGAAAATAAATAAAATAAATAAAATGAATATTTATTTTATTTATTTTATTTATTTTATTTATTTTATTTATTTTATATATTTTATTTATTTTATTTATTTTTTTATTTTATTTATTTTCTCAGCCATATCTTCTCCACACAGACCTTCAAAATAAAATAAATAAAATAAATAAAATTAATTTTTATTTTATTTTTTGTATTTAGTAAAATTTGGAGCTCCGGATAAAATAAATAAAATAAATAAAATAAATATTTATTTTATTTATTTTATTTATTAAGATTTGGAGCTCCTGAGAAAATAAATAAAATAAATAAAATAAATATTTATTTTATTTATTTTATTTATTAAAATTTAGAGCTCCTGAGAAAATAAATAAAATAAATAAAATAAATAAAATAAATAAAATAAATATTTATTTTATTTATTTCATTTATTAAAATTTGGAGCTCCTGAGAAAATAAATAAAATAAATAAAATAAATAATTATTTTATTTATTTTATTTATTTTATTTATTTTATTTATTTTATTTTGGAAGTCTGCGTGGAGAAGATTTGGCTAAGAAAATAAATATTTATTTTATTTATTTTATTTATTAAAATTTAGAGCTCCTGAGAAAATAAATAAAATAAACAAAATAAATATTTATTTTATTTATTTTATTTATTAAAATTTAGAGCTCCTGAGAAAATAAATAAAATAAATAAAATAAATATTTATTTTATTTATTAAAATTTAGAGCTCTAACTTAAAGGAAATTCAGAAGGAATCTTCAGCCGTCAAATAGTACAGAAAGGTCTCTCTAACATATATATATACATATACATATATACATATACATATATACATATCTACATATCTACATATCTACATATGTACATATATACGTATATACATGTATACATATACACATATATATATATACATATACATACATATATACATATATATATACATATATATATACATAAAAAGAACATTGACCTCGTTTTCCCGCCCAGTCTACAGCAAGTCGCAGAACGCCAAACAACATCCGCAAAAATGGGGTTCCCTTTCAACAAAGTCCGGGAAAGGTGGCATCAGAAACCCTCAGCAGGCCTATGGCAAACGAGCGAACCGTTCTTCAGTGCATCAAAATGTTGGTAATTTTGTTGCTTCCAACTTGTTCGTGCTCACCCCATTGAGCATTGTAGAACTGTCAGTATATTGCAGCAGAGATAAGCGGGTAATGCGTGAAAAGGTACTGGACAACCCCTTCATACCCCCGTCCCCGAAGCATAAGCACTTTCCATAAACCCTGGGTCCCTTGTAGGACGGTGTATCCTTGATTTTGGATAGGACTAATTTTTTTCCAGGAAAGCACAAACCCAATCTTCAAACTTTCAGATCAGTCGGGCTCACAGCTCAGAGCCAGCCATAAGGATATTAACACAGTAATACCATGTTAATTACCTATCAATTGAAACCACCAATCACATCAATTAAACCCAAACTTTGCTGCCCATCCTCTCTCGTTTCCCCTGGCCTCTCCCGAAACCTCCGCGCATCTTCTTCCGCCTTTCCATGACGCCACCAGAAGAGTTGAACTCTTAGTGCCAAGGCCATCCTTCAAAGGCGCAGGGGATGTCAATTTTGTCGAAAACCTCTGCCTTTTTGACCTGTTTTTCCTATCAAAATGCAGCATGCCGGTTTTCATCATTTTTGGCGAGGCCCAGCAAAAACTGCAAAGTGTTCAATTCGAAAATCAATGTTCAATAGTTTTTCACAGTTTTCACAGTTTTCCATCAAAGGTGTCCGAATTTTTCATCTGTTTCCTATCATAAAATGTCATAGTCTTGTCGATGAAAAACTGCCAAATTATCATATTGTCAATATATCTCAGCGTGTGCCCCATTGTTACCATTGTTGGTTATAAATCCCCCATTGTTGGGGAAAACAGTTGTATTCAGTTGTTGTACAAATACTCACACATATATATATATATAAACATATACGTATACATACACATATACACACATACACATATACACATCTCCTACATACATATATACATACACATATATACATATATACACATATACATGTATATATATATATATACATATACAGATTAATGTATGTATATATATGTGTGTGTGTGTGCGTATCTCCCCAAGTTTTGTGGTTTAATGTATTCATCAGAGGTTAATCATCTGTTTGCCTTGGAATGGCCATATATGTTGGATATATCCCTGTAATGGTTGGTTATGAACCCCATCAGATTCCATAAACAAAAATCCATAAAACTCATCAAATCATATAAAATCCCATGAATTTTCCATCTACGTACCTTTAAATCCTATCAAATCCCATTCGAACCCCATTAAACCCCATTGAAATCCCATTTATATTCCATTGCTATTCCATAAATAAATAAATATATATATATAGAAATCATATAGAAATCCCATTTGAAATCCCATTTGCAATCACCGTCCGGGGCCTTCGAAAGAGTTCCTCCATCTCCGCCCCTGCGCACCACAGCCGCGCGACCGCAGCGGCCAGGCCGCGTGGAGCAGCGCCACAGGCGAAACAGAGGCGCTGCACGGCAGACTGCGGCAGTAGGCATGCTTATGGAGATTTAATGGAATGTTTAATGACATGATTTAATGACATGTTAATGGCCATTTTCATTATGGAATTGTAAGGCAATGCTTATGGAATGGAATTGTTTATGGGGATTTAATGACATGTTTATGGAATTGTAGGGCAATGCTTGGCTGGGATTTTAAGGCAAAGTTGATGGGGATGGCTGAGGGGGTGAATGATTTGTTTCTCATTTTATGGCAATGTTTAAAGGATTCTAGTGGGATATGATTTTTATGGCGCATAGATGGAATAGACTAATGGGATCTATGTGTTTATTGGATTTTATTAAGGTCAATGACCAACCATCATGGGGATATAACCAACCAAAATAGGGATAGTGACTATAAATGGGATATAAACCATGACAAAACTTGGGATTTTACCAGATTTATCCATCTTTAATGGACTATGAATGGTAATATTAGTGGGATATGAATGGGATAAGGTGGAACGTTTTAATAAACTATCAAGACGTCAGGAAGAGCTACTTGCGACAACAGAATATAGCAGGCACGTTTGCAAAGTCACAACTTTGGGGTTGCCTGACCTTACTATCATGTGGCTGGGAAACTCTATTCGTACCCCCTTGCCTTCCCAATTGATAATAAGTGTTCATAGGGAATATGGATAGCCCTAGCTCCGAATTGCTGCATCCGTTCACCACTGGACAGTACATCAGTTGCAATATATATATATATGTGAATCTTATATGAACATATAGTGTTGCTTGATCCTATTATGGGGGTAGTGCTTCTGTCCGGGAAAATCTATTGCTGACAGGATAATGGATTACTGTGCTTATCCCAGAGTCGGAAATTCTTTTGTGTTTATTCATCCTAGCTTGACATTAATTAATATTAATTATCCATGTTGGTGTCTCATTCATATCGTCATTGCTATCGCCGATCTCCCAACGGGATCCGTGGCCTGCTGCGATCGCCGTGGCAATGGCACCTGCAGCCGTTCCAGCGCCAGCAGCGCCTCTGCCAATCGTGCTACCGCGGGGCGGCCTCCCAAAGGTTTTTGGCGGCTGAACTATGGTAGAAATCGTTCCACCAGGAGAAATGCTGGTTCCAAACTTTGACATGTGCGATGCTGTTTGAACAAGTCGAACCACCCTAAAAATCTTCGTTTTGCGACCAGAAGTGTGTGTGTGTGTGTGAAAACGGGCGCTTGAACGTATCACAATGACAACTGTTCATCGAAACCATTGGATGAGTCAAGGTGACGAATCTTTGACAAAGTCAAGGGTCTCTGGTATTTTGCTGTGACATTTTAGCATTATAGCCATTATAGCCAATGATTAGATGATTTTTTTCATGACATCTAGCATTCTAAATGGTGACAATATCCATGTATTTATATATATATATATATATTTATTTATTTATTTATCTATTTATGACATCTATCATTCTGGCCAAGGTATCACCATTTTTTCCGCAGCTTTTATGCGGATGTCCCACCTCCGATCACCACCTTGGCGAGGTGGCCACAAAGCTCTCGAACTTCCGATGGCACCTGGAGCCATGGTATCGGTTGGTTTTGTTGGGAAATTTTACAGGAAACCCATGGGTTTTTACCATCAAATTGGTTGGGCTTTCCGGTTAAAATTTTCCCATCATCCAATTCTATGACTTGAATGATTTGGGGCCCACATTTTGGAAAACCTCCATGGTATGGATATTTTTTGTGATATTAACACACACAAGACCATGCTACTCTTCATTTCTTCTCAAAAATTGCTATTGTAATGGTTGCTATGTCAAAGGCACGCCGATATTTCCTATTACTAGTATGTCTATATATATATACACGGTACAGGTATATTCGGTACACGTTTAAAGCCCTCATTCTCTCCATGTTATTTGGCCATAACCCATTCATCCGGCGCCTCTGCACCATAGCACAGGGCATGGGCGTTCAGCAGCTCAAGGGCAGGCAACATTTCCTGGTGCTTCGAGCTTGACGAGGGCCCTATTTTTGAAGGGGCCAAAAACATAGATGTAAAATAATGTAAATCCTATTTTTGTAGGGGTTATAGAAGCATATAGAAGCATCATTACCCATCATTGTCCTATATACTGTAACCTCCAAACTTGGGCGTGGAAAAAAAAAACAGCATGGGATCATCCCACGACTAGGAGCATGCCAGCTCTCCACCCACTGGCCCACTCGGTCTTGTGGTGAACCCCACTTGTCGGGTTCAACCTCCTGAGGTCTTGGGAAACTGATAGCTTGGGATAAGAAAAACTCAAGTCACATATGCCACCCACCAGCAGGCTCGAATGGTAATTTGTTTCTGCGTTGCAAAAGCAGTCTAAATCTAAATGATTGGATGATGAAGGCCGATGTGATGGCATTGTTCTCATGTGTAAAACAAACAAAATCCCCATGCAGCCAGAAACCAACTGAAAAAATCACAACTTCAAACCCCCAGCTCTTCGCAATTTGCCACATCAGGACCAAGGAACAACTTTGGTATTGGCCCCAAAAAATATCACCTTCACTACCCAGTGCCACAGGGGATAACCCAGAGTTCATCCTGTACCTGATATAATAGTTAATTCAAGCCTTAAAACATGTTAAAAATGGGCGTCGAAACAAACTCCTACTGTCACATCCAGTCTCCCACCCCAAAAACAATCAGGAATCACTCAAACATATCTTGACATGAAATGATTGTTGGTTTTATCCATCAACCAAATATCATTTGGATAAATGCTGGAACACCCAACATGATTGCAACAATGTTTTAGTGACCCAAAATCAACCCCAACTATTCAAGATGGGTTTTCATTAAAGCTGGTTTGAATTGATAAACATCAACCATTCATAGATTTTGGGTTTTCCAATATTTATCCAAGTTGTCAACCCTGGATTAACACAGCATGGTTTATTTATTCCGGTGGTACATTTCAAATAGTGCTGATATGGTACTTAATTGGTAACCCCCAAATAAAACAGCCGTTTGGGGCTTGTTAATCCAGTGTTGACAGGAAAATGTTTATTGCATCCATATTGTTGTTTCTTCTACTGGATTTACCACACTATTCTAGTGACCCATCAATTGTCCATTTTTCGTCCACTTCTGTTGGAAAAAAACGCTATACCCCCATGGCTCACCGTTGATTCACCACACAAGTATATAACATAACTCAAAGCAACGTTAAATTTACAACGCTATTGTGTATCCATTGTTTAACCTAATAACAAGCCATTTGATTACCCAATAATTCTATATATTCAACCTATATAAACCTATATACAGTAAACCTATATACACCTAAATATACCTATAGAACCCATATAACCCAATCACTATCCTATTGTTGGTGATTTTTTTCCACCCTTCCCATCCCAGCGTCCTGGGCCTCTACCACCCGATGACTCAGGTGCCATAAGTCTCCACGCAGCCCGTCCCCGTCCCGTTCCCGGTGCAGGTGGAGGACGGAGCAGAGAAGGGCGGAGGCCTGGGGGGATCAGATTATGGGGGGGCCCAGTCATTGCTATTAGGAAAATCGATTGGACAATGATGGGAGAATAATGGGAAACTGAGGGGGGGAAATGATGGGAAAATGATCGGGAAAATTTTGTTGAAAAGTATGATGATCGACTACGGGACCAGAATATTGATCTATGTAAATAGACCAGGTCTGGAACATTTCTGCTCCACAAATGGCAAGTTCATCTGGGTAGTTGGCACCTTGTAATGCCATACATGGAGCATATGGAGGATGGGGCCGCAGAGACGAATTGGATGTTGGACGGTGAGCTCAAGGCAGTGATTGGGTTAAAAAGAAATGGCAATATGTATCAATATTTTACAATGGTGCCACAAACCAATTACGAAGCACTGAGCCAGCTCAGCATATCTTCAAAGTGGCGGCAGCAAACCATCATCCAAAGTACGGCAGGGAAAGACTTTGAAAATCATTAGGGGACCCAGTTGTACATGCTGTATTGGCAGAGGACTTTTTTGTGGTTCCAATGCAACTGGATTTGGGATGACGTCTCGAAATCAGGACAGCAATTTTCAACATGACCCCTAAAATCAGGCTGAACTGCATATTGAAGCATATCATCATGTATGTATATATATATATATTATATCATATATATATATATATCCACATAAAATGGCAAACCCATCATGTCCTGCATTTTTCCATCAAGCCATTGTTGCCATCCGGCCGTCACCAGCCGTGGCCTGGTGCAACGTCAAGGTACTTCTTTGCTGCAACTCACCTTCGGTCCAGATCTCTGATTGGTGAACGATCATTTTCCACCTTTTCTGAAGATTGTTTTAGTATGTTTTAGTTACGGTAAAATCCTGTAAACATTTAGATGTGGAGAAACCACTATCTGTGGATCATATTCCCATATACTTTCCCATGTTCATGGTTTTTCCACCTCGTAAACGTTTACCCCAGGTACCTCGCCACAACTTGGCCAACAAGGGCGCTTTTGGCGTGCGCGATGCGAGTTGGGCACCTTGGCCGGGAGTTACCCTAGTTGTTTCATGAGAAAACCAATGGTTACAGAGGTGATATTTTGAGATAAGCATTATATTATAAGCTCACTGGGATTGGGGTTGAAAGCATCATCTTCAAACTTGATTTTGGGGTCTCGGTGTATGCTTGCAATATGGTTTGCGAAGCTGAGTTGGGAATATTTGCAGGTCAAACATCATTTTCCCAATCCATTACTGCACTATGACGTAGCTGCGGATGCAAAACATATCAAAACATGGTGCCCTGGTGAAAAACTCAGTTGTTGAGCACTCCAAAACTGCCACCATTTCGTATAGCTATTCAATTAGCTTTTGGCCCAGCCCCTTCCAGTAGCGAGGCCGAGTCAGCGGATAGTTGGGATAGATTGAACCACCATGGATCCTTATCTCCCCCTGTTGCCTGCTGGGTCACAAGTTTCGCTCGTTGCTCGTGTGCTCCACCAGACAGATGGTGGCACTGTGGAGTGCGAGGGCCTTTCTCCGATTCAAAGTTTCTCATTGGCAATTTCGCATGAGCTTCCTGTGGGATTTGCTTTCACATGAGCCTCTGCTGCGCCTTGGCTTTAGCGAATCTGCGCAATGTTTTCAAAAGATTGAGCATGAAGCATTTCGCAAAGTGGCGCTATATGATGTCTGTAGTGGCATGGGGGGCTTCACTGTCGGTGCTCAGCCACTGGGGATTGACACGATTGCTTTTCTTGAGTGCAACGCATTGGCTTGTGACCACCCGAGAGCAAACTTCAAAGGCCCAGTTTTTCCAAGGAAGTGTTGATGACACACGGATCATTCAAGAATCCCCTGCCTTCACTCTTCTCACCGGTGGGTTTCCTTGCCAACCCTATTCGAGACAGGGTGACCTGCAGGGACTTAGCGACCACAGGGGTATGGTCTTGCCGGCAGTTCTACGCTGTGCATGGCTCCTTCAGACCAATGCCCTGGAATGTGCGGGCAATGTGCTCAACTTTGGGGACATCCAAGAGCTTCTTGACTCCTTTGTGGCTAAGATGCAGTTTAATAAGGTTTAAAAAGATTGTGTTTGACCTTGGAGCTCACAATGGGCTGTACGTCACAATCGTTTCTGGTGCCTCATGCTGCCTGATGATCTACCTGAACTGACTCTTCAGGCTTGGCCGACATGTCCAACATGTACCACCCCTGGGTTCCATCATGCCATTTGATGCAGTTTGGCCTGATGAACAAGAAGCCGATCTCAAATGGGATGAGCATGAGATGGCAATTTTCTTTGACCCCCAGTATGGCAATGACATGAGAATGTTGCAGACTCAGAGCAAAGCACCGACGATGCTTCACTCGTGGGCCCATCTTCTTCGAGCATGCCCCCGTGGGTGCCGAACACTCCCAACTTTCACTGAGGAGACTTCAGCAGAGAGGGGCACGTGGATTTGGAATTTTCTCAGCAAGGACTTCAATCAAGTTCGACGGTGCCCCTCCACTACGTCTTTCTGGGCTCCCCAAGATCCCCGCTCTGCCTGCTTGGTCAAATCGCAGCACCAATTCAGGTGTTATGGATCTTGTCACAATTTATGCGACATCTCCAGGAGCACTGTTGTCTCTACTCTGACATCAATGCTTCCAGCCAAGCCCACCACATCAACGATTGTACAGCTCGAAATGCTGAACATTTCAATGGTGCAGGCCTACCGTGTGACCAACCTGATCCCGTTGGACTTGGGGACACACAGGTCTGGCAGAACATGAAAATGCTCTTGGACTTTGCGAGCAAATCTGCAACATCCACCACGGCCCTGGCCCTTTACCCTTTCAGGGCAACTCCCACAAGGTGTCATCAACGACTGGCAACCGAGCTTTCGGAACTCACCAGGAAGCATCTTTGTCATCTTATTGGGCTTTGCTGGCCGGAAAGCTACAAGATGGAATGCGATGGACTCACCATGATGGACTTTCCTTCCCTGCTCTGAACACCTCACGAATTGCCACCATGATTGCTGAGACCCTCGCTGACTATTTAGACTTACCCTTCGGGAGCTGCAGTCAAAGGGCTTCGATTCCACAACACGGCAAGTACACCTGTGGGACCACTGCCCTGCTCAACAATGGCCAACCACCTTCAGATCCAATGTGACTTGCCTACGCATGATGAAGTTCAGCTACATGACTTTTTCCTGCACCAAACGGGACTGACTCCCAACATCATGGCAAATGGCAAGGGATCTGCAGCAGACCAACTCGCACAACTCCTCACCACAAAGGGTGCCACAGAACAACATGTACAAGAAAGAGCACAGATGGTCATTGACAAAGTTGGACAAAGTCAAGTACAACAAGCCCTGAGAAGCAACAATCCCTGGGCGACATTGAAGGCAGCTGCATCCAAGCCAGGACGCATTTTCGCCTGGTGACAGAAGAAGAGCAACAGCAATACATTGCCCGCAGCCCAGACAAAGCATGGAGCCAAAGTCAACAACCCTAAGCAGAAGAAAGAGGCATCCATGCTGCGATCTGCCACTATGCAGCTTGATCCCAATTTGTTTCGACTTGACCCCAAGCCCTTCCAAGATGAAGCAGGTGAACCTGTGCCACAACTACAGCTTGCCGAAGTTGAAGCTGACATGCATGGGGATGCGCTCTGCACTATGCAGATGGTCAAGCACTTTCTGGAGACACCAAAGTCTATCAGTGAACAAGGCTTGGCACTGCTGATCATTGACAAGCAAGCCTGAAGACCAAGTATGAGGGTTCACTGTCTTCGATCTTTCAAGACTTGCGTGATGAGCCGAAAGCAAGTATCGACCATGTTCGGAAAGAAGTCAAATACCAGGTCCTGGCCACTCACCACAACTTGAATCAAGTCATGCTGCATAGGGATGCTCAATTGCTGGCTGGGGGCTACTTTGCCATGCTTGCTTATAATGACATATTTGGCCTGACCATGGATGATGACAAGACCTATGTTTGTGGACTCACCACCGACCTGCGAAAGGCCATGAAGCAGTTGGGCTTCCAATGCTTTTATGATGCCAGTGAACTTGGTGCTTCAATGAGCTATGGTGCCAGGATAGGAAAAGAAGACAAGTGGCAGAAGTTGAAGAGATCGGGGGCACCAACGCTACAGAAGCTTTCAATGCTGCAAAAATCTCTCGGCCCAAAGCGCTACATGGATCCCCGGCTTGTGTTATTGCTGACAGCTATTTGCTCTTACTGCGGCGTGCTGCGACAAAGGCGATCAGAATCAATGGAGCAGGGCAAACCCCATGCTCAGACTTAGTTTGTCTGGTGACATGAAAAATAACCCTGGCTTTTACCAGATCACACACACTTTGGCAACCTTCTGGAGAATTGCACGCAAGATCACGCAAGTCTCCTGATCTGATTCCTATGTGGAAGATGCGGCACATCACCTTTGAAGGACGACTCCTACCTGGACCATTCACCAAGCTCGTCACATGCCTGAACAAAATCGGTTGGAGCATTTCTGATCCACTACAAGTTCAAGACCACGAGCAGCATGAATGGCATTTGGACAATGTGGACGAGAAAACGCCCCATGCATTGCTTATGGATGTGTGGTGCCAACACCTTGCCAGCCAAAGACCATGTGCGACCTTGTGGGCGTGGATCTAACTTTGACACTCTCTGCCTAAAAGCGCCTTCTGCCGAAAGAAAGTGCACTTCAATCGGGTGCTTTCGTTAGCGCTAGTGAACATGCTCGATATGATCCTGAGAAGCTGCATATCTGTGCGCTATGGCAATGTGAAGATGACCGTGCTCACTGGTTGATTTGCTCAAGATTTCAATCATTGCGGCTATCTTCCCGGCTGATCTCCAGATAACGCGCGATTGCCACATTGTGTCACGCATCACCTCTTGGTGCCCAAGATTGAGGACTTGGCGGCATGGCGTCACACGTTGTCTCTTGTTTTCACTTTTTCCCCCTCAATGATGCTCCCCAATATTTGTTCACGGATGGGGCATGTTGCCAAGCGGAACAACCTTGTTTGAATCTTGCGTCATGTGGAGTTCTCAGCGCAACTTCTGACGAAATGGTGGGCCTGGGACACCTGAGCGGCATCACGCAGAGCATTGATCGTGCAGAGCTCTTTGCCCTGGTCAAGGCCACCAGCTGGACCACTACCCATGACCTCTTACATCTGCAGTGACTCACTCTCGAATGTGCACATTGCTGAGCACATACAACAACATGGTTGGATTCCTTCTCATGTGGAGAACTATGACCTCTGGCTGTTGCTTCAGGATGCTCTTGGGCTGAGACAGGGGTATCACTCGCTTCCACTGGGTGCCATCCCATGTACGCACCTCTCAAGCGGAGGATCCCTTTGAAGAGTGGCTTTTGGCATGGAACCGTAACCGTGAAATTGCTAAGGCCATCACAGTCTGGAATCAGCGGCGTGAGCCGGACTTTTGGTAGACAGGTAGACTGGAGCAACTGCGGCAGTTTTACTTCAAGGTTGCGGACCATCAGACTGACCACGACAATGCGGCACAGCATCTGCATGCAAGCATTCACGGAAGTCATTGACATTCAATCTGATGATTGCAGACCACCTTCCACTGACGTGGCAAGTGCGCTGTAAACAAACAACCAAAAAAGTTCCGGGAAGTCTTGTTGAGTCCGCTTTGGTCCGTTTTACAGTGGCTGTGTGCTGCGGAACAGTTGGAGAACCAACCAAAGATCGTCAGTGATTTGGAGCTAGTGTTTATTTTTGCTGCTGATCCTGATTTTCGTTTTCCTTTCCAATTAGATGGTTCCACCAACTGGCAGATGCGCACATTGGCTGATTTGTCTCAGAAGCCGACAGCAGTAATGTTGCTCAGGCCGATTCAGATGCCATGCAACATCTTTCATCTCTTTTTCCTGAGGCCCTGATTCAAACCCCACCTTAGCCAGCCAAGGAGCATGGCGTGTATATGCAATTCAGGGGTCTTCGCTTGTGTCTTCCAGATGCATTGGTTGAGCAGGTCAGGGGACATTTGATACGGTTCACAACCAGCCGGGCCATCAGAAGAAACTCTGATTTGGCTAGGCCATGGACCTAGGCAAGGAACAGACAGTGGCCGCACTGCTTCGCCGCGCGGCGCTGCAAGAGACCGTCCGAGCTATAGCTGTTCAATTGCAGTATTCCTGTTGAGGCCGAGATTCTCATGGTGTAACTAAAACCGTTGCCTAAGCCAAGGAAGAGCACAACTCGCGTGTTTTAAGCCCGATATCTGGAAGCAATACAGCACTTCAATGTTTTCTCAGGGCAACTTTGGGAGTTGAAACAGATTTCCACAACAACTTGACTTTCAGTAGGTGGGTAGAACCAGCTGCAATGACTGCATCAACAGCTGAAGTCAACCAAAGTGCAAACCTAAATCACAATGATGGTTCAGTCATGATCATGCTGGCATTCGCCCGAAACGCTAAATACTGGCCATAGTGGGTACTAAAGACTTTTGCACTGCACCTGGCACCATAAAAAGTTGTCCCAAATGGGTTCATCATCATTTCTCCATCATATGCTTATACAGTTATATAATTTAAGATGCCCATTTTCAAAGGCACTCAAATGATGGGTGTTGATTAACTTGTCTCCAAGGGGAGAACATACATGAACATACTAGGTAGCACCTTGTCAAATGTCAGCTGTCCTATCTCAGATATTTTTTGTCAGATATCAATAATATCCTTCGAACAACTTGTCAACCGTCCAAACAGCCCCCCTCAAACCAGTCCAAAAAACGTTGTGCAGAAGGAATTTGACAAAACAAGCCACTGTTGTGTCAAACATGGCAAAGCTTCATGTATCTTCAATCAAGCAGAGATGATACATAATATATATATATGATTATATATACACATTTATTTAATCATTAGTCTTCTTATTTACTTATCATAAGCCTATTGGCTTTGACCTATAGCGCCTCTAGGCCTCCACACGTTTGGCGGCCAAGTCCACTAACTCCACGTCCGTGAGCCGCAGCAAGGCCTGCTGGGCACAGGCCTTCGCCATCGACCTGCAACGCGAGAAATCGACGGGGTCTAGCTGTAGGACATATCCGAAATCTACATGGGGTTCCATCAATGGAGATACCCCAAAATGGATGGTTTATAATGGAAAACCCTATTAAAATTGATGATTTGGGGGTACCCCTATTTTAGAAAGCCTCCACATGAAAAGACTGAAAGCTGCTGTAAAATGATGCAATGATGCAAATGAAGAATTGCAAAAAACTAGACAATCATAGAGTGACATGCATGTTAGAACAATAGAACACATGCATAGTCTTACTACATTGTTTGCGCACACCTTTTTCAATCACGTAAGGTTGCAAGCAATCATAACAGATCATAACAGTACACAGCTTGGACATGACACAACCTACAAATCCCTTTGTCGAACCATCATCGTTTGCAGAACATGCCACAAACATCCACAAACAATGGGCATGCAACGCAAACAACGGATATGCCACAACCAGAATGTGCTTCAGGGGATTCCAGCCGATTCCAGCGGCCCACCTCCGCCCACTGATGTTTTTCCAAGTGCCGAGTGTCGGAGTTGAGCTGGGGGCCAAAAAAAAAGGGCCGAAACGGATTACCGCCACTTGGTAGGTCAAACACTCTTCCAAACGGATGATACCCCAAGTGGGCGTAGTGTCAGGTGTAGGCATCCCTGTTGCTGCACAGATCTGTACAATTGAGATCAATTGAGAGACTGCGACTGGACCCTCGGATTTTGGGAGCACCGGCTCCACTGGGCTAGACTTAGGGATGACAATGCATCCAAAGCAACCAAGGGATAAGTCGCACTCTCTGGGGCACAGGTTTTCAAGTAGCTGGGTCCTCAAATTCAAAACAAAGCCACAAATCAAGAATTGTTTTGGTTCAATTGAACATGTTGAAAATGTATTTGGCTGTGACTTCCAACACACCAGTTGGAAACCCTGGCGCCCCTCATGACCGGGATACTATGGGTAAGTCTGTCACTTGCGAATCTCTATCGGGGTTATTCAACTCATGCAGAAAAAGGCGGGCGTACACAATGGCACTCACCAGTTCTTCGCTGTGCTCCTGCAGCACTGAAAAGGGATCCTCTGCTGACACCAGCAGCAGACGGGAGTCCAGCAATGCTTGGAACTTTCCCCGGTGCCTCCAAGATTTCACCCACAAGGCTGGCTCAGCAATGTGCTCGCCAAGCTCGAGGGTCTGGGAAGGCATAGGTTCCGCGGATGTGACTGTGTCAATCTTCAAGAAAGCTGGGAGGATATGATTAATCATTGGTTTCACACTGGCATCTGTTTCTCTCCGGGGCATACATGCTGGCATCAAGCTGCTCTGGTAGATACCCAAGCCATCAGACATGATATACATACCTTGGCCCTTTTTCTTGGCATCAAAAGCGACGTCGCCTGCAAGAAGGTAGATCTCAGATACTGCCTCACTGCAAAGATCAACTTCCATGGAATAGTTGTTCAGACCCACATCTTTGAAAAATGCATGGTAGTGAAGCGTCTGAGAGCGAGCCTCTTGAAAGAGTTCACGTACCATCCCATCCGGGAGTTCCCGCAGCAGTTGCATGTGACTACCAAATTCAAAGCGGCGTCGCTCGCGTTCGATGTACCTTTTGATCTGGATGGAATATGAATAAGGGATCCCATGCAAGCGGCAATACTTTTGCGCCGACCGCAGCACCTGTAGGGTTGCTACATAACTACAGGTTGCTACTGTGAACATCCCCTACAGAGTCTGGGGGGACAATTCTTAGATGAGCCGAAAATCTCCGATGTTCCCCCCCTTGTGGCATTTTTAAACCGAGTTCTTTGCAACCCATCCCTATCGCCTGTGTGTTGCGGATGGTGCTCCGAGTCACATTGGCCATGGTGTTGGTGACGAAACTCACGAAGATCGAGCCGGACACAATGGAGATGCCGGTGCCCATGATGCCCAGCCAGCGCTCGGCAGCAGTCTCCAGTTCCACGCTGATTCTCAAGGATGAGGATGGCAATTTGGACAATGCCCACTCCAAACCTTGGAAAACTGCGATCCAAGGGGGCCATCAAAAGTATCAAAAAAAATACTTTACTTCGAGTGATCCCTATCATGGCATTTCAAACCATATTTTCTGACATTTATATGTTGACATATTTTCTGACATGTTACCTAACATTCTATCGGACATCTATTCTGACATTCTATCTGCCATTCTTTCTGGCATTCTATCTGGCATCTAATTATTCTGGCATTCTATCTGGCATGTATTCTGGGATCTATTCTGGCATTCTATCTGACATCTATTCTGGTATTCTATCTGACATCTATTCAGACATTCTATCTGGCATTCTCTCTGACATTCTCTGTAGTGGCGGAAGTGGGCAAGAAGGGGACAAGAGAGAAGTCGAGGGAAGGAGTGAAATTCCGGCTCTAGTACAAGCCCTCAGCTACAATGCTACAAGTCCCATTGCAAGACTCACAGCATTGTTTTATCTGAAGGGAAATCTTGTGTGAGACAGATGCCCAGCTCTCCATTCATTTCATTCCCCTGGCGCCGGTTGCTGGCTCATATTTGATCAGACAAACCGAATCATGCAAAAAGATGTCAAAGACGGATGTTTGTGCAAAAACCAAACAACTATCTATCTCATGACTATCCTTATCTATCTCGGGTCCGGCGGGTAACACTGCGATCGAGCGCTTGCAGTTGAGGTCCGGCGGGGAACACTCTTCTACTGAGCTTGCTGTTCGGGTCCGGCGGGACACACTGCGCTCTAGCGCTTGCAGTTGAGGTCCGGCAGGAAAAACTTTAGGTCCGGCGGACCGAATTACTCACTCTGATCCTGGGCTTGCTGTTCGGTCCGGCGGGGAACACTGCGATCGAGCGCTTGCAGTTGAGGTCCGGCAGAGGAGGAGGCGGAGAAGGAGGCGGAGGCGGCGGGACAGCTGACATAGAATCTAACAACCCTCACCGGACAGGTAGGGAAATACGAAAATGCAAAACATATCAAAACATATTCCCTGTATATAGCTTCGCCAAATGGGTGGATTTATATGGATTTACGAATGGGAAAATGAAAAAAACAAGATCAAAAACAGGTGATAAACAAGTTCAGCAAGCCCAAGAAACTCCTGGAAACTTGCCTGCCCAGGACTGCTGTGTGCAAATTCTCGGCTCTGACCCAACCCTTTTCTGTGTCACCCACGGCAAACCATATGCTTCCCAGCACATGTGCAGCCAGCATCAGAACCAACGTTGCACAGAGAAGTGGCACAGCCAAAGGACACATGCCCACCTGGATTTGGGATTGAGCCGCACGAAAGCCGCCCAGAAACCTACTGACTTTCATGACTTTCAGAATCTGAACGAAACGAAGCAGTCGGAGAATGCGGCGTACTTTCAAGAGACGAAAGATGCCCACGGGCCCATCGCCTAACTCAAGCACCACACCCACTAGGTCAGGAACCAGCATGGTGATATCAAACAGGAACCATGATTTGAGGTATCCCTTGGCGATGTCCGCAAGTGAAAAGGAAAGGGTATCATTGGCATAGCTCGCAGTGAAAAATGATGCCACAATGTCCAAAGCCCAAAATGATGTCAATGTCCAGCTGATAATGTCCTTGTGGTTCAAAACCAACCCAAAGAAAAATGAAATGCCGTGCAAATGGCACGTCTATAAAATGTGTATACATATGTATATATGTATAATATATATATACACATATTTGTATATATGCATATATAGATATAGATATAGATATATAGATATAGATATAGATATAGATACAGATATAGATATAGATATAGAGATAGATATAGATATAGATAGATATAACATGGTGGATAGTGATACATAGTGATACATGTTTGGTGAGCACATCTGATACAAGACAGCATCCCATTTTCTAGTCATTAAACCGTTAAAAAGGCAGTGACACCAGAAAAATCTCGGCAAAAACCACAGCATCCGCCACTTTCTCCTCCACCTGGGTGAGCCGATAGAGGAATAGGGGTGACACAGAGATTTCCAAACAGATGGCCACAATGGCCAGGCTGTCCCAAGTCATTCTCATCCTAGCCTGGCCGCGCGAATTTTCGGGGATTGGATCATTGGCGGGCCCCGACAAGTTGGGAAAAAAAAACTAGACGACGGATGGCCCGAGAGCGTAGAGGAGCAGGGTCTTCTGTTGTTAGTATTGGGACACTATATTACAAGATAATATATTAAAAATGTATTATAGGCAGACGAGAAGAGTAGCATCAAGACAATATATTACAAGTACAAGACAATAGTGTGCATCGTATCCTTCGTATAGTTTTTCACACACAGAACCTTTTACACACAGACGCTTTTGCACACAGAAGCTTTTACACACAGAAGTTTTTACACACAGAAGCTTTTACACACAGACGCTTTTACACATAGAAGCTTTCACCCACAGAAGCTTTTACACACAGACATTTTTAAACACAGAAGCGAAAGAGTTGCGCCGGACGCGTCAAAATCGCAATTTTACCTGAATTTTTCGCGATCGAACCTCTTAAGAGTTGCAGCCGGACGCTTGAAATCGCAGTTTTACCTCAGTTTTTGAAGATTTCGTGCGAAAATGTTCGCCGGACCCTTTGCAAATCGCAATTTTACCGCAGTTTTTGGCGATCGAACCTCATTTCGTGCAAAAGGTTGTGCAATCGGACGCCTGAAATCGCAATTCTACTTCAGTTTTTGGAGATCGAACCTCATTTCGTGCGAAAGGGTTTGCCGGACCCTTTGCAAATCGCAATTTTATTTCAGTTCTTGGCGATCGAACCTCATTTCGCGCGAAAGGGTTGCACTCGGACAAGCGCAAATCAAAATCGCAATTTTACTTGTTAGCGATTGAAAACCCTCATTTCGCACGAAAAGGTTCGCCGGACGCTTTGCACATCGCAATTTTACCGCAGTTTTTGGCGATCGAACCCCATTTCGTGCGAAAGGGTTGTGCAATCGGACGCCTGAAATCGCAATTCTACCTCAGTTTTTGGAGATCGAACCTCATTTCGTGCGAAAGGGTTCGCCGGACCCTTTGCAAATCGCAATTTTACCGCAGTTTTTGGCGATCGAACCTCATTTCGTGCGAAAGGGTTGCGTTTCGTGCCGTCTCGTTGGCACTGCCCCGCGCCTTCAAGAGAGAAATGGAAAAGAAGGAGAGAGCAAGAGGGCAAGAGAGCAAGAGAGAATGTGAAGATGTGAAGATGTGAGGATGTGAGGATGTGAAGATGTGAGGATGTGAAGATGTGAGGATGTGAAGATGTGAGGATGTGAAGATCTGAGGATGCGAGGATGTGAAGATGCGAAGATAAGGAGATGCGAAGATGTGAGGATGTGAAGATGTGAGGATGCGATGAGGATGTGAAGATGTGAAGATGTGAAGATGAGAAGATGTGAAGATGAGACTATGAGCAGATGCGAAGATGATGAGAAGATGTGAAGATGCGAAGATGAGAAGATGAAAAGATGTGAAGATGTGAGGATGTGAAGATGAGAAAATGTGAAGATGTGAGGATGTGAAGATGTGAATATGTTTGACAGACCCCCACTATTAGAAGAACCCTTCGCTCAGACGCTCTCGGGAAAAAAGGAACAGTGATGCGCGACTTTCATTGTATCCCATTACGATCTACAGTTTCACCTTTTGAATGATTGTGTTTTGAGCTACTGTAACGCTTTGGACCTCTAGGAGTCAACAGAGAATCATCAATTAGGATTGTTGGCCGGAAGGAAAAGCGCCAAAACGAACGCCCAGTGACATTTGGATGCATGACATAGCACGGTGGAACCGCGGCAACCCTTTTCTTCCGCAAATAGGGCTCTGCTGAAATGGTCCTCCAGAGGCAGCATGATCAGCATGACACTGGAAGATAACCCAACCATTGACCCGTTTACTGGGGGATTTATGCATGGAGCTCACCAATTCTTGAGCCAACGCGCCAGTGCAAGAATGACATCTCAGGATTTTTTCTTGAGGGGCACCTTTCGAAACATGTGGCTTTGTCTGAGAATGGGGTATACCAATGATTCACCAAGGGATTTGTTTCTTTTATCTCTTTGGTCATGCTGCATGGGGGACTCCTTGTGTGGGAGGACCTCTGTGTCCTGGTGGCACCCATCTGTTTCTCCATCCGCTTCAAGGCTTGCAGATGCTCATCGGAAAAGCTCCACTCGTCACGGAGGTGAAAGGCATTGGTGTCCTCATCCTTGATAAGAAGGGTGGCGGAACAAATTTCGTTACTGAGACAGAGGCCCAAGCCATCAGGGAATCCAGAAACATGATGAACTATGTCAGTTCCTATACATTCCTTTCTGCAGCACGAAGTTGTCCATTACTCATACCACCTGTGTTGAACTAAGGTGTATAGCTTCACTTTTTTGCTGTCCAGTTGCTAGTAGGGTTGTCCGCCGTGAAGCTGCTTGATATGCTGTTTTGGCTCAAGTTTATGGCTCAAGTCAAAATAGGTTGCAGCGGAGGACTCTGCAACCAGCACATTCATAACCCAAGGTTATGAGCCCAAGCCTCGAGCCATGTCGGTGCTGCAGCGCCGACGAGCTGAGCTGGGCAGCAGGAGGCGGCCGATGAGACTTGGACCGGAGCATAGCTGAAGTTCAACGTGAACGTCAACTTGAGGAGCAGGAGCACAGTAGAAGAACATCTGCCTCTATACCAGAGCTCGCTCAATAGCCCAATGCCTCGACAGTTCAAGACGCTGGACTTCAAAGACTGGACCTCGGGCGGCCTGCTGAACCTGGACGACGCGGTGAACATGAAGCTAATGCTCAAAGAACTCAAGCTGGTCAACCTGAAGAGGGGTCAACAGTCCGATGGGAGGCAGCAGATGACGATGCGGGACGCGACAGCCATAAACCCATTGCCGCTGGTGAGGAAAGACTGGTGGTTTATTTGGGCCGCTTCCGGGGCATTTGCCACAGTCGACGATAGTGACGGCCCAAAAAACACCTACCAGCAGATGGGGATTGAGACGACCCCTCCGCAGGTGAATGCTTTCTGGAGTCAAGCCGTTCAACGTGAAGCATCTGGAGAAGTGGCGGTAAGCCGGTAAGCCAATAAGGGCCAAGAGGGATGGTGACGCAGATTCCTGCGGGCTCCGGCCGGTCCGACTCCTGGTGGCAGGCCAAGCGGGGGGAAATCATCCCTTTGGACCCGGCTGCTGCGGCCATGGAAGAGATCCGGAAAAGGGTCATGAAAGATGCTGAAGAGGCTTTTGCCCGTGAAGTGCTGAACAGGCTGAGGACGTGGATACTCAGTCACACCAGACTGCGCCCAGCTGAAACCGGCTTGAACATCAATATGACGTTTCAACCCGCTATGACCCCGCCCAAGCCAAGAAATGGTGATTGGATGTGGATGGCTGCCGACGGTGAAGCTCAGGGTGGACACCAGCCCCTTGGAGTTGGAGGGCCTCCATCGCCTCCAGATTTTGGTTGGACCTCGTGTGGCTTACACAAACCTTGGGTTACTGCCTCTTCCAAGGGCTGGAGGTGATGGTGTTTCACGAATGCAAGTCTGGCAGTCTGGCGGACAGACATCCCAGGCTGGAAGAGAAGGGGTATCGATGGTGCTAGTGAGCATGCCGGAAGGGTAAGAAATCATTGCATCGCGCGGTCTGTCCACAGTATATCGGTCTTGTCCAGGCTGTACACCACATGCCAGCCTGAGCGTGCCAGCGAGAGGACTAACCTCATCAAGGGCCTTTCCCGGTGAGAGTACCGGCTGGACTGGAGGAGCTACCGGCGGCGGTTCGCCACTGGAAACGGGGAGTTGGAAGACCTAGTATAAATTCACAAGGACCACATCGATCGACTACAAGGGCTGGACAAAGTGGACATTTGTTTCCGGCCCCTGCACTGCCAGGATGACACGCCGTGAAGCTGCTTGAAATACTGTTTTGGCATGTTTTGGCTCAAGTTCATGGCTCAACACCATAACCCAACTTTCAATTTATTTATGACAATTCTTCAAGGGACCAACACCACTTCTGGCCGTTTTCGGCATGAATTCTCCATCTGTGGGCTCCCAATTTCGACCCACACATGTCAATTGTCTGAAAGTCTCAAAAAGTGGTTGTTCCCCCCAACATATCACCACGTTTTTGGGGAATATGATGATCAACCAATGGATTTAGGGCTATAGCGTACCGATCAAAGCCGAGCATCCGCCTCGACGTTATCCTGCAGTTGTTCAATCACGTGGCTTTGCCTAAAAATGGGGGGTATACCGTGTATACCATAAATGTGTATATGTGTGTATATGTACGTACGTATGATTATGTATGATTATGTATGTGTATGTGTGATTGTGTATGATTATGCATGATTATGTATAGTTATGTAACGTATGTATGTAAGATTATGTATGTATGTATATATGTACGTACGTATGTATGATTATGTATGTTAATGTGCCATTGTGTACAATTATGCATGATTATGTACGGTTATGTATGTATGTAAGATTATGTATGTATGTATGTATGTATGTATGTATGTATGTATGTATGTATGTATATATGTATGTATGTATGTATGTATGTATGCATGTATGTATGTATGTATGTATGTATATATGTATGTATGTATGTATGTATCTATGTATGTATATATGTATGTATATATGTATGTATATATGTATGTATGTATGTATGTATGTATTTATGTATGTATGATTATGTATGATTATGTATGATTATGTATGATTATGTATGATTTTGTATGATTATGTATGATTTTGTATGTATGTGTGTATGTGTGTATGTGTGTATGCGTGTATGTGTGTATGTGTGTATGTATGATTATGTATGTATGTGTGTATGTTTGTATGTGTGTATGTGTGTATGTATGATTATGTATGTATGAGTAAATCATGTACTGTATGTATGAGTAAATTATGTATGTATGATTATGTAATGAAATGTAATGTAATGTAACGTAACGTAATGTAATGTAATGTATGTATGCATGCATGCATGTATGTATGATTATGTATGTATGTATGTATGTATGCATGTATGTATGTATCCCTTATACCCAATGGGGCAAATTTAAAGCTGTCAATTATGATAAAGCGTAGGGCTTTGGGGCACCTACCATACTTTTAGGCCAAACAACAGTAGAAAGTCAACTGCGATCTTCATACCATGATTTGTTTAGATTATGTAAGGGCGGGGGCCGGAAAAAATGAACGCACCAGCCCAGTTGTAATCCTTTCCCCCTATTTCTAAACGTCCCCCAAATACTAAAAACTAGGGTCCATCTCCCAGTTTGGAAATTTTCATGTTGGCCAATTTGACTTTTAATTGATCCCCTTTAGGAAACAATTTAAAAATAAAGCTGCCATTTGTGGGTTTCGCCCCCTAATAATAAAAACTAGTTAACTCCGCGGTGTTTACTATTAGGTGTTTTTAATCTATTATTAGAGCCCGCTTCGAAAACCAATTTTTGGCAATATTTTAATTGCATTATTACATAAGGAAATTTAACCGACTCCGAAACCGAACAAACTAGTTTTTATTATTAAGGTTTAAATTTTATTAATAGGGTCCGCTTCGAAATCCAATTTTTGGCAATATTTTAATAGCGTTACATAAGGAAATTTAATTGATTTTGAAATCGAACAAACTAGTTTTTATTCTTAATGTTTTAACTTTATTAATAGGGCCCGCTTCGAATCCAATTTTTTGGCAATATCTTCATTGCGTTATAAAAGTAAACTTAATTGATTTTGAAATCGAACAAACTAGTCTTTATAATTAAGGTTTTAAAAGTTTTAAACTTATTAATGGTGTTCCCTAAAAATAAATAGCACACCCTAATAATCAAAACTACCTGAGGTGTTTATTATTAGGGGGGACGTTTAGTATTAGGGGGAAGGGATTATTGCCTATATGTGGGGGCAGTATGCCAATATGTTCGAATCCTACAAGTATGCTACAAACACCCTAAATATCCCAATTTAGATGGCCAAAATCGAAACTCAATCCCCATGTTTATCCATGTTTGATGAACTATACATTTAGATACCTTTTTACAGTTCCTATCATCTAACATGCTTGAAAGCAGAACCACCAAAATACAGCCCCAGCATGTCTCCTGAATCTTATTGGTGGCTCGTCTGGCCCGCTTCATCAACCGTGACATCGTGGTCGTCGGCTTCAAATTGGAAGAAACTGAAGCCGTTAACATCCTCGGAGCCTCGACGGACTGGACGGGTTCACAGTCAAGGGAGCCTGGAAGACCGGGCCGGCGATGTCGTGAACTGGCTAGGGACCTTGACAATGCTCCAGAATCAACTCCTGGCTCGTCTTGCTGATGTTTTTTGGTGATTTCGAAGGTCTTTGAGGCATTAATTATGGCCTTATGGATTCTGGAACCCAAGTGTCGCGCAAAATTCACCTGGTAACCTGGCAGGGTTTGTTGCTCATGACACAGTTTCTTAAGTTTCTTTTCGAAAAGTGTCCTTCGGAAGCTTCCCCGGAACTCTTTCTGTTCAAATCGTTGAAGCTCCCCGGCTCCGAGGCATCCTCATCCACAAACCATCGGCTTTCCATCGGCTCCGACTCCACAGATTGGGTACGTGATGACTTCACCTTCTTCCTCGCCCGGCTGAGAGCGGCTTCATGGAGCTGTCTGAGCTGCAAATGAAGCACCTGGGGATAGAGCTGCCCTGGAACACCCAAAAAAGGCCTCCATCTACGGCGGCTGTTTTGGTCACAGTCATCTGAAAACAAACATGAACCCATGGAAAGAAATTGCAATTGAAGAAAATCAAAACCATTTGTCGGGGTTCCATCGTTGTCTCCAAAATGTTCGTTCAATGGTCTCCCCTTACGAAATCACTCGTGCCATGCGCCACGCTGTGGTCCCGCCTGCATCTGCCGAAAGACCACCTCGAAGGAATGGTCGCGCTCCAGCTCCAGAGTTCTGGGAAGGACTGGAGGCTCTTCTTCCGGCGCGAAAACCTCTTCCATGGCGGTTGTCCCCAGCCGCCCGCTCCAAGTACAGGAGTAGGCCAAGCTGCTTGAACCACGAAAACTTCCGGTGACGGTGAGTGCCCGCTTGGGCTGTGCCCCAAAATGTCCATCAAATTTCAGGGTACTCTCTATAGCTATATATTGTAAAAGAATGTAAAAGACAAACGCTAGCGAGTACTTCAGGAACTTTGCAAACGCGGAATGGGTGAGGCAACATGATGATTCAATTTGACCGGATAGAATGATTGGGACGCAGCACGACCCAGCAGCACTCTAATGAGCAGTTTTTAGCAAACATGCAGCAAGTTTATATGAGGTTCTGGAGAAGGTGTGGGAGGCTTTGGTGCAGAGCCAGGTTAGGTTCAACAGGGTTCCGGAGAAGGTTCCGGAGAAGGTTCCGAGGCTTTGGTGCAGAGCCAGGTCAAGTTCAACAGGGTTCCAGAGAAGGTTCCGGAGAAGGTCTGGGAGGCTTTGGTGCACAGCCAGGTCAAGTTCAACAGGATTTGCGGCCATTTAACGCGGAAACCCAGCTGAGGTGTTTGCAGCGCTTGGCTTCGCAGCACGCTTCAGAAAGATCTGTAAAAATAAAACGTTGCGGCTGTTGGGGACACCACCGAAGCTCTTATTATTTAAGGGGGTGGCTTCCCTAAAGTTTATCCCCACAACTAAAACCATAGCAAAACGCCTTAGAAAAAAAATGGTGCGGTGAATTTTCTTGGCCACATGAAATCACATTGGGATTTGTAAACATCAGGCCCACGGCCTCCCAGAAAAGTAAGGATGCTGGCCAGTTGATTCTAGCCGCAAGGGTTACGGTACTCTCCAGCAAACGAAGATAGCCATGGAAAATGGTTATGGAAATCGTAGGTCATCTACAAAATGCCAAAAATGTTCAATGGTTCTGTTAGCCATTACCAGATAATAACACAATCACCGGTCATCAAAGGAAGTTGGGAAGCAATCTTCCGAGTTACGGATGGTTTTTATTGTGTCAGTTTGGCAAGGGGTGACTTAGAGAAGTGGTGACTTTGGGAAGTGGTGACTAAAGGAAGTGGTGACCTAAAGGAAGTGGTGGCTTGGGGAAGTGGCGACTTAGGGAAATGATGATTTAGGGAAGTGGTGACTAAGGGAAGTGGTGACTGAGGGAAGTGGTGACTTGGGGGAGTGGTGACTTAGCGAAGCGGTGGCTTGGGGAAGTGGTGACTTAGGGAAGTGGTGACTTTGAGAAATGAGAAGTGGTGACTTAGGATGGAATGGTGGTACTGTAAAACGCAGTGGAATGGCTACGGAATGTTGCCTGGGACTTGCGGTGGGAAGGAAGCCGGAGCGGGAAACACCGCACTTTTTCGGGTAAACTGGCTGCAGCTGGCAATAAAGTGATTTTTTGGCCGCAATGTAACGGTGGCCTCCAGCTGCTTTGACAGCGTTCGTGTGTGCGTAGTTATGAGGCGTTTTGGAATCTGCGGTTGCAGATCGCACTGTAGCGGCTGCGTGATTGTTGTCATGTTCTGTTGCCATGTGCTGTTGCCATGTGCGTAGATACATGCAGGTGTGCCACGTGGCGCTGCAAAACGCATTGTAATGGCCGCAGGAATGTTGCATGGGACTTGCGTTTGCGAGGGTGTTGGAGCAGCAGCCGGCGATGAAGGGCATCTCGTGTCCGCGGCGGTTTCGTTCTGGTGATTTTTTTGCCGCAGTGTAACGGTGGCTTCAAGCTGCTTTGACAGCGTTCGTGTGTGTGTGTGTAGTTTTAGGGTGTTTTGGAATCTGTGGTGGCAGATCGCATTGTACGGCTGCGTGATTGTTTACTTAAGATATGAGGCTGGCGTGAACTATCACGACAAAGGAATTTGCATGCTTACAGTCAGAATTCCCGACGAAGGACTTGCAGTTGAGATTTGCTGCGATTCATCTCCTTAGGCATTGAACTCAGAAACACTACATATAATATACTATGGTCATGAGCGCAATAATTATATTTGTAGAAGTTTCTGCGTGTACAACCTTTTCTTTGCAAGGTATACGGTATAGGGCGTTTGTGTAGAAGAGCTTCTGTCTGACAGTAAAGGTTTTCTGATGCACAGAAGATCTGAGATGAGTCAAGCAGAGCTTCGATGAGATGAGAAGGGTTGAGCTGTGCTCCGATGAAATGAAAGTAGTTGAGAAGAACTTAGACGACACCTGAGAAGTAATGAGATGAGATGAGATGAGAAGAGATGAGAAGAGCTGAGACGAGGTGAGATTAGGTGAGAAGAGCTCAGATGAGATGAGCTGAGATGCAGTGCGAAATTAATGTGAAGTGTGGGATATGAAGAATGCAGCGTGAAGGGTGAAGTGTGATCTTTGGATCACAAAGCGTCGCTTGGCATTGCACCGTGGTCGTGCGCACATCACGTTCTTGGACACATTCTTGGTCACAACAATGTACAAAGCACGCACGCACGGGCTTGGTTGGCGCACGGTGCGAGCAAGTTCTACAGATGAAAAGTGTCTTGTGGTATAACTATAGCCCTAAGACAACTTCTGCCCCGCCTCGTGCGGGTACTACTGGTAGTAGCCATAAAGGCCATTATTAAATATTCCTAGTATGTTAGTATGTTAGCTACTAATTATGATAATGACTATCTTTCCCCTGGAAATTTCCATAGTCCTGGCTATTTCAAGCCCGCAGCTGTGCCTCGAAAGCGCTCCCCGGTCAGAGGCCCGGCCCTGTTCTAAGGTGCTAAACTACCTTGCCAAAGTTTGAGCCGCCTCACCAAGACTGCTTCAGTTGCTAGGGATGTATCAGCAGATCCCATACCGTGCCCTGGGAGATTCTGATAACCGTTGGATATGGTGAAGTCGGCCAGTTTCAAGACGAATCTACCAGAAACCATGGTTTTGTACCCAAGATCGGTTTTTCCAAGGTTTTCGAATCATTTTCCCCCCCCTGCCAGTCCATTGAAAGCCACGTGCTAAACTGGTGGCCCGATCCAGCGGATAATTTTCTCGTGCGATCGGCGGCTGCAGGTCTGAAAGTGCTGCAGCCTCAGCGATGAACATCTGAGCGGTTAAGGGTGGTGGTAGCAGTAGTAGCAGTAGTAGCAGTAGTAGTAGTAGTAGGAGTAGTAGTAGCAGCAGTAGTAGTACTAGTATAGTAGCAGCAGCAGCAGCAGCAGTAGTAGTAGCAGTAGTAGCAGTAGTAGTAGTAGCAGTAGTAGTAGTAGTAGTATAGTCGTCGTCGTCGTCGTCGTCGTCGTCGTCATCGCCGTCGTCGTCGTCGTGGTCGTCATCGTCCTAGTAGTTGTTGTTGTTGTAGTAGTAGTTGTTGTTGTTGTAGAAGTTGAAGTTGAAGTTGAAGTTGTAGCTGTAGTTGTAGTTGTAGGCTGTAGCTGTAGCTGTAGTTGAAGTTGAAGTTGAAGTGTTAATTGCAGATGTAGTTGCAGTTGAAGTTGTAGTGTTAGTTGTAGATGTAGTTGTAGTGTAGTTGCAGATGAAGTTGAAGTTCTAGTTGCAGCTGTTAGTTGTTAGATGCAGTTGCAGTTGCAGTTGTAGCTGTAGCTGTAGTTGTACAGGCAGTTGAAGTTCAAGCAGAAGTTGCAGTCGTAGTTGTAGTTGCCGCGTAGTTGAAGTTGTAGTTGTAGCTGCGGTTGTAGTTGTAGTTGTAGTGTAGTTGTAGTTGTAGTTGCAGCTGTAGTTGAAGTAGTAGCGCAGTTGAAGTAGTAGCGCAGTTGTGGTTTTAGTTTAGTTCAAATTGAAGCCGAGGCTGAAGTTGGAGTTGTAGTTGCTGTAGTTTTTGTACTTGTTGTAGTTGCCGTGCTTGTCGTGGTTGCTGTATTTGTAATGTAGTTTTTAGTTGTAGCGCAGTTGGAGTTGTAGTTGTAGCTGTAGTTGTGGCTTTAATTAGTGTAATTAGTGGTAGTGGCAGTTGTAGTTGTAGCTGTAGCTGTAGTTGCAGTTGTCGTTGTAGTGTCATTGAAGTTGAAGTAGTTGTAGTTGTAGTTGTATTTGTAGTGTAGCGTAGTGTAGTTGGCTATCTATCTGTCTATCTGCCTGTCTATCTATCCATCTCTTTGTCTCTCTCTCTCTCTATGTGTGTCTATCTGCGAGCTTGAAAATGGAGCTATTCTGCGAGACTTCCTCAGCTTTTGAGAACTTGACAACATCAAAATCGCAATTCTGCGAGACTTCCTCAATTTTTGAAGTTGACAACATCAAAAACGCAGCAATTCAAGACTAAAAAGAAGCAATTCTGCGAGACTTCCTTCAAAAATGAAAAGTGTAGTGCAGAGCTGACGGCCTCGTGCCAATGCGCTTTGCGATTTCGCCACTCCATCTGTCTAAAGTATTGTGCCTGCCACGAAAAAGTCAGGCCAGGTCATACGAAGTGTTGCACCTGTCACGCAAAATCATCTTAGAAAACCTGAAGATCTGATGCACCAAAACGCAACCCCTCTCAGGAAATCAGCGCCCTGACCTCACGCGAAATGCATCTTCGCAGGTCCCCTTCAAATGTCCCAGCCCTGCAAACGTTATCGAAACTGCTACAAAATCCCCCCCATTTTGCTCACTTTTGAAAAGGTGACAAAGTGGATGGATCGGCTGGAAAACGGTGCGAAAGCTGCAAGCCTATAATTGCGTACGAGTAGCACCGCACAAGGCGGTGGCGGAAGTTTCAAAAATAGACAACTATAGGAGGGGTGAGTTGCTGTGATGCACGGATGGCAGAGCGACTCCACTGATGGACCGAAAGGTGGTTGGAGTTGTGCTTTTTGGAGTGGTTGCAGTGGCCAACCCACCCACAACTGCTAAATGTAGTGTGGTGTGCTGTGGTGTGTAGTGCAGTTGTGAGTCGTAGTTGTAGTTGTAGTGTTGCAGTAGTGTTGCAGTAGTGGTAGTGGCAGTGGCAGTGGCAGTGGTAGTGGTAGCAGTAGCGGTAACGGTAGCGGTAGGAGTAGTAGGAGTAGTAGGAGTAGTAGGAGTAGTAGGAGTAGTAGGAGTAGTAGGAGTAGTAGTAG